TGTGCGTCTAAAACTGACTGTTTCAAGTTATCCAAGATTGCCAAGCAGAGTTTTTAAGTGTCCACAGCGTCATAATTCTTACTAGCGAATCGTCGAAGGGTCAACTATATACACGTCCGTAAGTTACCTTACCCAGCTGCCCCTTTGTTCACGCAGCTGATGATCAAACATGTCTGAACACGTTGTAATGGGTGGGCCTTGCCCTCTCACTGTGAAATTCTTATGTATTGATGCCTGATCCGATTCCACGTTTCAACAACGCAATACCACGGGCAGTAAACAGACTCCTTCCGCTACATGGCATTGATATAGCGTAATTTTTTTTTCGACATGGTTTCAAGCTAAAGACACTTATAGTTTAGCGGGCATAGCGGGACCGCAATGCGCACGCACCCTACGCTAAACAACCCGCACCGTTTACCGCACGCACGCTATTTGTCAGATGTAACGTGTTTGCGGGGTTAACATGGCATGGCGGTGGTTTCCGACCCCGCTTCGAATCGAATTTAGCGTGCGCGGATCTACTTATTTCCTGCGTAAAAAGGCTTGTTTTCTTCAAATTGCGCAGTTTTTGAGATCGAGTCCCTTATAGAACGTACCTAGATTGAACCAGACGATCGGTATGCACAAATGTGCAGGATAAAAAAGTATTGCTTTTATGGCGTGGTTCACATTTATGTACTCGTATTATTGTTGAAAAGTGTAGCGAACATTGTGGTGTGCGGGGATACAGGCGAGATAACTCAGCTCCTCTTATTTTCCTTTTTTTTAATGCATTCACCTCCACTATAGGTGACGCCACCATCACAGCTTGGGCACGCAAGCGCTATCCCGATAAACTAAAACACGCTGTCCGCAACGACCGTCTGCGGCCGGCTATCACGCTAACGCTAAACTATGAACGTGGTTTTGTAGTAAAACACCCAGCTGTTGGCCACGCAGACGGCTTAAGTTGGGTTTTCACTCGAACCCAAGGTTTTTATTCGTATCCTTTCTTATTTTTTCAATCATGGACGAGATTATTTTTTCGCTCACAACCAATGAAGCCGACGCCGACGCCAGAATTTCTACTAAGCAAGTTCTTTATAGGTAATCACGTTAAAACGCGTCGCTCGACTTTCTCATAACTTTTCACACCTCCACTTTAGAAAATTTTGAAACTTGTGACTCGTACAGTTCCAAACAATCTGCGTGCTTAGCAGCTTTTAAGTGTTCTCTCAGCATTTTTATACGTACTTCTCTCTGGGTGAGGTTGGTGAAGTACGGCTGCCGGGCGTCCACTAAAGAAAGTTGAGGGCCGTACACCAAGCGATTGGCGAAGATGCGCAAGTATTCCTGCGTTGCGTGGAAATAAAACTTAATAAGTAAACCACCGGGCCTTTAGCAAACTGAAAAGTCCTTCTTGTGAATGATATCAGTGCTATCAAATCAAATGAAATCAAATCAAGCAATTTTTTTATTTGAGAAAGGAAATATACAGAGAATAAAAAAACCAAACCTGAAGTTAACCCCAACGTTCTAGTTGCCTGTGATTATCCTTTGCACGTAACACTGCTTGTAGGCACATGTGTTTGCTTGCACCAAAGGCGTTATATTAAAACGAGGGATGAAATGTTGAATTATGTTACCCACATTTTTAATGACATTATCCATAATATATGCGTTGAACGAATTGTAAAATCATACCACCCAACTTTTACAGGCGCGGTGGTTTTTCAGAATAGCGTATTTTCACTGTGCGCCTGAAATTTTGATTTAATGCTGATGGTCCCAGAATTGTGGCGTTGACGTCTTTGTGATCTGTATCTGTTTAATATTTCTATGTGTTAGTATATGCCCAGTATGCGTGTGGGTTCTTGTACATATGCACATCACTCTAATGCTGTAAACTATGTAAATTACACGCATGTTGATATCTGTTGTATATTTTCACCAAGTCTTGTAGATTATGTACATATATCTTCATGCACATTGTGCATATTGCGATTAGTGTATAGTGCACGTGGCCATTCGGCACGTGGCACTATTAGTGTATAGTGCACGTGCACGTGGCCATCGTTGTTTTAAGTAATACAAACGTTCATGGGCAAACCCAGCACGCGGAAGGTGGTGTTTCTAAGACCAGAAGTTTCAGTTCCTGTAAAGCTTCCCGTATTTCTCTCGTTAACATCTCTCGGACTGGATTGTTAACGGGGAAGCCGTATCTCAACTGCAACAAATCGTTCAGGCGCGTGAAATTTTAAGCCTACGCATACATTCTTCTCTTTCTCTGCCGTTAAATGTGAGAGAGAGTGAGCAAGGCCTTCGCGTAAAAACACTGCTGAAGAACTCGATGATGTTACTAAAAAAAAAAGACGAATTTTCTTGTCAACACGCATAATTACCGCGACATTATTTCTTCGACTAACTTCTCCTCTCGTCAATCTTTAACCTCCACGCGACTTTTTGTTATTTAATTGTATTGTGTTCTTCAAGACCCTACATCATGATTAAAAATGCTGAAATAAATAACTGACCATCATACGTTAGTAGCACGAAGCCACAACAAAATCCACAAGTATTTATTAGGGATAAAAGCTTCTCAGTTCAAGAAAAACTTTTCCTGGGCAGAATTATTGCGATACCAGTTCAAATATTGTGATCCACATTGTGTTGACCAGACCGAGTCAGTACGATGGTTCACACATCCTTGGATAGGCTATACTCCGCAGCCGAGGCCCCAACGTCCAGCAAGACATCATCGGTCAAGCCCTTGCTGCTGCCAAGTCTCAAGCGATTTTGGCCAACGGCTAGGGTTGACGGACAATGCCTGACGTAATTGATTGATTTTTCTAATAAAGTTTATCTCCCGGGACCAAAACCGGGACACACGCACTTCCTGGGCACTCGCTCACCGGTTGAGCCAACCAGGATGCTTACAATAGGCAGCGCGTAGGCGAATTAATTGATTGATACGTGGGCTTTAGCGTCCCAAAACCACCATATAATTATGAGAGACGCCGCAGTGGACGGCTCCGGAAATTTTGACCACTTGGGGTTCTTTAACGTGCACCCAAATCTGAGCACATGGGCCTACAGCATTTCCGCCTCCATCAAAAAGGCGAGGTCGAATTAGTCAACTACTCTAGGCAAATTGACTCATAATATTGCAAGTGAGTTCCACAGACGTTTGTCCTGGGTTTGATCCTCGAACTATGACATTTTTCTTCAATTAAGATACTTTAATTTTTCATAAATTGATATGTATTTCATTGCGCCTTTGCGAGTCTAACGAGTGGGTGTCAAATATCCGCTTTAGTACATAGCATGTACTTAGAGTGTCATACTATAGATTAAAAGAAACGTGTTACGGAACCTGTGAATCTGCGATCGTGCCGATGTGCAACCAATGGCGTCCTCTGACAGGCACTCCACGGCCTCCGATCAGTCGACGCTGAATGAGGAATTCAAGGTTGCCGGATGCGAGGCTGGCTGCACCTTGTGGTCTGTCGGGAAACACGGTCAGTTGGACACCCTGGGACTCACTCTGCGTGCAGAACAGATTTTGTACCATACTCATCAATAATACCGAATAAAACAAACATATGCGACTTAAAGGAACGTTTTTGAACAGCAAAGCAGGTGCCATCGGAGCACCTTTCTTTCGCTTTCGCCAACGTTCGGCGTGCTCTTCTCTCATCATCACCCCCTGTGCTTTAGCGCGCACTACGATTTGTCAACGCCTTTCAGCGGGACAGCCAGTGGCAGTTCTGCTCCCTCCTATAAACACTATTTTCTCCGCTCCCACCATATCGTCTCCTTTGCTATCCGACTCGCTCGCTGGATTTCGTGACGACCAGTTGTGCTCCTGCAATCTCCGACGACAGTGCAGCTCTGGTCGACTGGGCTCGCCCTACGCCATCTTTTGATGCCTACAAGAGCTCTCGCTAGTGGTGCCCCGTCCTCGGATTCCTGCGACCGTGTCCATCTTTCCTACCTCCTTTTTACTTCCGTTGCTCGCTGTCCCTGCGCCTCGCTGTCTCCTTCCTCTATATATATATACCTTTTAATCCTATCCTTTTACCCCTCCTTACCCCATTCCTTGCGAGCTACTGTTGAGGTGTCGCACTAGGATGCAGACAGTTACGGGGCTCACTTTTCTCTTCTTTTCCCTTTAATAATAACATAATCTTTCGCTATCCTTTGCTAACCAGAAGACGTGTCGGCGCGAGTGATGGTTCCTCGCGCCGACGGCAACGATGCCGTTGCGAGACCAGTCATGGGTGAAGACGTCGAGCCAAACAGTGCAGCAGTGTCGACCGGCGGCAGTGTCGTAGTGCACGGACATTCTTGGGACATGTGTTGTCATTTTTGTTAGAGCTTGTGTACCAGATTTCCTTCATGTTTTGTTTTTCGGTATATGGTTTGAATTAAGATTGGGGGGATGTGGAGGTGCTAACACCCCCTGCAAAGTTGTTTGCGCCTCGTAGCGCACTTGTCTCACGCAGAAGCCGGATTCAGGGGTCATTACTATTGAGCGCTAGGTTTTAGTTTTTTCGACGCGTCGTTTTTAAGCGCCCATCCTAATAGGCACGTTTCATAGTGGACGTGAAATTTCGTCAGCGCCTTGACACAACCGAGGTGGCCACCTTACCACGAGCGACATCTTCGTCACTCATCGATTCCGTCAGCATCACCCATTCATTCCAAACATAACTCTGCAACTTCTCGAACCCACCTGTTTTACCTTGATGTAGCTCTTTATTGCACAATTAGGGCGTGAATAATCGCAGCCGGCCAAAGGTGATGCACGACGCACGTTGCGTTTCTCTCTGGTCGGGCAGTAACGTTGAATAACTCCAACATGCTCCGATTCGGCCATAGAGTTTCCTAATATTAACTTGCGGGGACTATGGTGCTGCGATCGTTCAGCGACCATGGGATCTATGGGTATGACAAGAACTTGCCTATTCTTTGTGCTTGTGGGCATTGAATCACACTTGCAGCTTTGTTTATTGTTGTGTTTCGGGTTTTTTTCGAATTAAAGAATAAATCGCTTTGAACTCCGTGAGATGATATAAAATGGTGATAGTAAAAGGCAATGCGTATACCTGCTGAACATTTGTCGACTGTTGTTTCGTGACAAAGGATCTTCAAGCCACGCGAAGGCAGAAGAAACGTAAAGTACGAAGACTATGCAAATCCATCCATGTACTACCCATAATTCCCATGCTTGCTGAAGCGCCATGCGTAGGAACTCCCATAGACAGGAATCTCTACGGGGTAGGTGATGTCAGCCCAAGTTCCGCGTCCTATAAGTAACGCTCTTGTGGCTGTCACATCTCTGTCCACTCTCACCGTTTCCTAAAGCAGCTGCATGGATCGACATACTAAAGAGGTACTTATTCGGCTGTCCCTTCACCACCCACAGAATAAATGCCAACGTGTGGTCTACGATTCGTATCTTGAACCCGGAGTAATTGAGTGCCGGCGTGGACGAGGCCACTAATGGACACGCGCGATAAGGTACCCGAAGGCTAATGTGCGCTTCGTTTTGTCACCACACGCTTTCCCGGCACTAGCCTTCAGGAGCACCCTATGCCCCGCCATTAGGTGTTGGTGAACACGCTCTCCCTCTTGGCCATGCAATATCCTCGAGAAAGTGCACGTTGCCCCCGATGCACCACGTGAGAGCTGTGCTCAAGGGTCACGGCTCCAATTAGGGTGGATTACGTGAGCGCCCAACTACCCACACCGTTCCGGCAGAGACCCTTGTCCAGACTACGAGGACTGCTCCCCAAGCTGGATTATCCATGGGCTCGCAATTTCGTCCAGCCCAGCGTTCCAGCCTTCTCACAAAGAACACAATCCCACGCTGAGCCTTCCAGGATTACAGGTGCTTACCAAATTACCCGGCCCTGCCAGCACAGTTCTGATGTACAAACATTGGTGGCCATCTTCCTTGGATGGAGGCAAAGTAGCCGGTCCACAAGCATCCACGACCACAAGGGTAATCATTGATGATGGAAGTTGGTCGTCGAGATGCATGACTAAACGCCAACGTGAATGCTTCCACCGTAAGCGCTGCTGTATCTGTCAATGGACGTTGCCCAAGTTATCTTATATCCTTGAAATATTTCTTCTTAAAGTACTTATTTAAAGACAGGTTTTACTTTCGTTCTCTACCGATTTCTATGATGGAGGCATCAACCATGCTTTCTTTAAGCCTTCCGAGCCCTTTCACAAATATTGGTCATTATGTTAATAAATAGAATATAATGACGTAATATTTGATAAATTTTTTAAAAGTCATCGAATGACCGCAGAGCATTACAGCGAAATCTTTACAAATCTGCAGATTAGTAAATACTCGAGTGATGTTCACTCACCGCTAGAAATGCCCACGATGTCACCGGGTAGAAGTTGGAGGCCACAGGGCTGCCTTCCAGCCTCCTGATGCAAATGAGAGAGCAACGCCACATTATAGTAACCTAACACCTCTTAATTACGGTTTATATATCTGAAATTCATTTAAAAGCCAACAGCGGGATCCTTTTCAATCACTGCCTGCTTTCCCAAAAGGCAGCTTCACGTCAAGGACCACATTTATAACCAAACTTGCCAAATGATTATTATTAAGAAGGAGGAATAAAGTTCCTTGAGAACCAGGAGCTTGAGTGGCACGGCCTGCCACGTGGGGACGTCGATGTTAGCCTCCGCCACTTCTCAGTCTTGCTGGCTGGCTCACAACTGAAAATTGATAACTGAAATTTTACTTTTTATTTATTGTGGCACTTTAGATGCTACACAAAGAAGTTAATCTATAAATATTTACTACGTCAACGTGACAAAAGTTGGAATTGTTCACATTTCGTTTAGGATATAGCTTAGTGTAAAATAGAAGAAACAGAATACCTTGAAGTGCATTTAGCTAGGCTATTTTTGACACCATACATAAATTTAATGTCTTGTTACTAATGCTCGTGGTTTTTTCGCCTCGTCTAACTGTCCTTCGATTATTGCGTTCTGCTGTCTTTAAGCCAGGAAGCAGAAAGAAAAAAAGAAACCAAGCAAAAGAGAGAGAGAGAGGGAGAGAGGGAGAGGGAGAAGAATCCCCATCCTCATTCAACCGCACGCTCACGCGCTCGCACTACTACTTTTGCTGCCTCATTTTTTCTTCGCACAGCAGTGGACTGGAATGGCCTTCCCTGTGACATTGCAGACATCACGTGTTCACCAACGTTTGCGCAAAACATGAATGCATATTGTTTGTCAGAAGGTCACTCTCTGTGATCTCCACTTGTTAACCCATCCATTATTTAATACTCCCTCTCCAGGCTCTTTAAGGTAATAAAGTGAAGTGAAGTTGATAAAAAGAAAAATAGATAAACGAGGAAAGAGAGAGAGAAAGAAAAAAATTGTCTTTTACTCTGTAAGGGCCCTGACACATTGCCTTTCGTCCTACAGCATGTAATCAACCTCATTTGTGTAAATATATGCGTGTCCACTTAAGTTGAATTTGCAGGATAAAAGGAGACTTGTACGGAATCTCCGAGTCATACTTTCTTTCGATGCTGCGTCGCCCGTTGGTGTCGGTGTAGAAGAGTTCGCCGCTCTGCACGCTGCTGGCGAATCGGCACACGATCTCCTTGCCCTTGTGGTCACCCAGTGGCACCGGCCCCAGCGACCATTCGAATTCGATGGTGTCCTCATTCTCGAATAGGCGAACCACCAGATCCAGCCACGGAGCGTAGCGCTGGTGCAACTCCTGCACCTGCATGCGAGGTGGGTGCGGAGCAGCGGGAGCCTTGTGCATTGAACGTTGCACCTGAATGTGTGTCATATTACGCGTACAGTCTCTCTAGCTCTGCAGCCTAATACGTAAAAATGGTCAATTTTTCTTTTTTTTTACCGTAAAGAAATATTTGTTTTTCATGTCCTTTTGGCATAAGGAGTATTTTAACCTTTAATATTCGAGAGATTTTCGGCTCCTTTCACAGACAGTGGAAATAGGAAGTGAGGGCCGCCTATCTAAAATGAACCCAAAATCAAAGGCAGTGACTTCAAGCAAATCACACGGTGAGTCGAATTTAAGCTCTAACAGCATACGTGGAGCTTCACGTGCACTCGCATAATTGAAGTTCACAAGAAAATGTAGTTATATAGAGAGAGATACTAATGGCAAACATCGTTTCATGACACAATGAAACGTCCATGCCTGAGAAAGTTCAAAATGTCAATATTATATGCCGCAACTCTTTAGTACCCGAGGAATTAAGGCAAACGTGGGACATGATATTCGACACCAGTGGCACGTTCTGGAACCCGGTGACTTAGTAAGGCCCAAGAACCAATAATATTGCTACGTGCCAGCGCATGGAGTTGCCAGCGCAAGAGTACGTGCCAGCGTATTCGATTTTTCGTGGAAATGATCGCCCCTATACCGTGTGTCACGCATGTCTCACCTCAAGTCCTCGTGTGATGCGGAATGTGACGTTGTTCCCCAAGTCGAACGGGTCGTCGTTGACGGGGTTAAGCACGCGACTGTCGGACGCCTTGCGGCTGCTTCCCTGGTACGCGTGGTAGGACAGGAACAGGTGCTGCAGCGTCACCTGCAGCCCGCCCTTGACCATGATGCCACGCACGAAACCCGTAGCCGAGTCCACTACCAGGCGGTAACGCTGAAAAGTCGATCGTTATCACGTGACGTCACGGAAGCAGAGACTCCTCATGGTGCTCGTACCCAAACATGGCTGCCCCCGGTGACGTCAGTGAGCGATACCAAATCGCGCACATTGATTTGCACTTGACGGTGTCAATTCTCTAACTGGGCCGGTATTCACAAGAATGTCTTACGTTACGGAATTATTCGCATGTACAAAAACATTATTGAGTGCCCATAATTAATCCGGCCACCCAAGCTCGCGGATTGAAAGCTTTATGAATCCGGCCTCTGATTATCGCTCCTGTGATTTTGTCTGCCAGCGCAATAGTCGTTTGTCATGTTATCTCGTTTCTCGCTAAAAGGGAGATGCTCGACGTGCAACATCAGCGTACGAAAATGTCTGTTACGATGACGTCACTGCAATCTACCTTTGCGAACCATGCCCTGACGTCACTGCGTTGCATCCATGGAGGGTTGCTCGAAGCGTGTTTCCTTATCCTAGAGCGCACAGGCCAAACTTCCGGTCACTGCACCATGGAGGATTAAGCCCCTATACTTCGTAAAAGTACCGCCATCTGCTCTCGCCCTTGCGGCCTCCTCTCCGGCGCGTTGCTTCTTTTTTTCTTCTTTAGCTTGCGACAGTGGTGCCCCCTGTAACGCGTCACGAGCTTGCAGTTCGCTTTCGATCCGGTGGCGCGCTACCGCTCCTGCATTAGTTATAGCCGCTCCTGTACAGCCGTACGTGTACCGTGCCTCACATGCGGCTTTATGTAATGATTCTTCTGCCTTGATTTTCTCAGCAAGACTGGCTGCGCTCCTCATCAATAATACGGCAGAAGAGCTGCTGCAAGTCATGCACAAGTTGTAGCGAATTGCACGACGTGTAAACTTCTTTTCGCAGCGTAGTGTTTCCTTGTGTATCAGGCGCTGATACACATAGCTGGGTTTATTGTATATATACATAGCTGGGTTTATTGAACTGGTAAGAAATATTTAAATTGCAGCTGTGGTGTTTTAAGTCACGCCATTTGGGAAGGAATGGTTCCCGTGTGCACAAACTATCTTGATATTTTATAACTGCAGCAATGTCAACAATGTCCATTAAATTGCTCGCTCAGAACATCGCGACGTTTCACATGCTACCTCTCCTCTGTCTGTCCGATGCCTTGTGCACGCAGCGCGCAGTTTTGAGATGTTTGTCCTCTGCGGCGCAGTTTGCAACCGTTGTCTTGAAGTATTACGTCTTCATGGGCGTTGCAGATAATGTAGGTGACAAAGGTAGTTCTTGCACACGGAAACTATTTCGAATTGCTGGATGGCCGAGATTGTGCTGTGATGTAGAGGTCGAAAAACGCAGTCGCGTCATCACTGTCTAAATTACCGCTCACCCATTTCTAGCGATGCATTATCTCAACTCAACGCACAGTATTACCTCAAAGCAATGAGAAAGTTCGGCCCATTGTTATATGTATTGCAACAGAGCGTTTTGTTATTTTTTTGCAAGTGCCAGCGGTTCATTTCATAAGGAGCACACATGACATGCACGCTATTGCAGACACGGGCTGCGCTTGAGAACAGCCGCGATAATCATGAAATTTGAAACATGAACCACCTTTTAGAGAAAATCTTTCATAGGTCTTGCACTCTGCATGCGGCGAACAATCAACACAGTGGTGCTTTGGCGCATCCAACATGGCGCCGAGCTGCGGAAACTGGTCATTCGCCGCATCCACCCGAAAATACAAGAAGCTCTGGCGGGGAGAAGAGGAAGCGGCGCAGATCAAAAGAGTGCTGTACTTTTCCGAAGGTATGAGGGCTTTATGGGGGCAGGAAGGCCACGGGTGACGTCACACCACCACCGAGATTTGAATAAAAGGGCACAGTTCCGCCCGTGAAGGCGTGTACCACCGCGTCTAGCTCTTATAAATTTTGGGGATTCGTTAAATTATGAGACGCCGTAGCGGAGGGCTCCAGAAATGTCGTCCACCTGAAGTTCTATAGCCTGCCAGAAATTTAAGTACATGTGCCTCGAGGATTTTCGCCTTCATTGCAATTGCGCCGCCGCGGTCGACATTCGGTCCCGCGACCAGCGGGTCATAATCGGTAGACCACCGTGACGGGGTACTAATATGAGTCTGGGAATGTCACGATCTGATCAACGGTGTATAGTCAACAAAATGAGGGTGCAAAAGATAGCGCATACGTTTTGATGACAACTGTCGCTCACCTTGTTCCTGATGACGGTCATTTTGTTAGGTTGTTCGTCTCTCGGCGATGCCTCCGGTTTCTTGAAAGGAGACTCTCGCGACCTTTGTACGTAGTGCGTCGTCACACCGAGGGGCACGAGCCTTGCGGAGAAGACCACCTCGTCGGCCTTGTTCTCGGCAGACAAGATCTGAGGAAGAGCATGCATGGCGGCGGGATATCTTGAACGCACTGGTGTCAAAAGAGAATTTGACGTAGAGCCGACCACAAAAGCCTATGGAGCCCACGAGCGCGTGCCATATACTGCCTATCCGCATCACCTAGCGGTGCACCATGTCTACCGCTGACGGAAACACTAACCCGGAAGCGGGTCATCTTGTTACTCACTGGTATACCAATTTTTCGCTGCACACATGTAGAATATTGCAAGCCCGTTGTTTTCATGCAAAGGGCTTATCTGCGGTATGAGTGTCATACTTGCATTTGTATAGACGAGTCAAAAGCTATCATAACGTGCTTCGAATCGTGTGCCGTTGAGTAGATAGTACGCACTTTCTGAGAATACTACACTGACAACACAACAAGGGATAGGAAGAAACAGACGAGCGCTGAACTTACAACTGAAGTTTATTTTCGAAACGGAGCAGAATATAAGGAAAAACGACCCTTGAACAAGATTGCAAACCAATATTTGCAAAACAAGAGGAATCACCGTACGTTTTTTGCGGCGGTCATGCACACGGGACAAATTTTTCACTTCTTTTTCCGTCAAGGTAATGGACGGGATGCCCACGCAGTTATTGCCAAGTCTACCAATTTGTGCTGCCTCAGTTATCTCGCACGTTCGTTGGGAACCACGTCACCCTACCACTCAGCACTTCTCCAATAGGGGTTTGTATCCAGGAGCGCCACACGTGCTGGAATGCAGGGTCCACTGTTTATTTGGCGAACTTTGTCACTGTGTTCGCGCCATCGGTCGTTCACCCATCTGACTGCTTTCCGCATGTCAGCGGGATGCCGTAGACCACACCCTCTACACATTCGGTGTAGTAGTTTCGGTGCTTCTTCTAGCGATGTGGTTTTCGCGCCAAACTGGCCAACTTATGAGGAGCGGAGAATGTCACGCGAACTTGAACGCGTTTCGCCACCCCTTTCAGTCCGTAGCAAACACCATGGATATAAGGCACGATGGCTGTCTTTTTTTTACTTAAGGTTTAACAGCGCGAAAAAATACACGGCGTACCGGAAAAAGACGGGACAACGCGTGTCCCGCCCTTTTTCTGTCCGCCGTGTATCTTTTCGCACTGTTAAAGCTTGTGTATATGTGCTAACCAAACTAGCCCAATCAGCCACTTTGTCTTTTTTTCTGTATTTGGAAGTAGGACATGCCTCCTCGATCAGGCTACGGCGAGACCTATTACCTTTCAGTATAGCCTCGGCCACAGATACCACCACACGTCTTGAATAATCCGCTTTTCTCATGCGGACAACCTGCTGCGTGAACGATTCACGAACTGCATGCACGCATGACTTCTCGAGGGCATTTTTCATGCACATTTTAACACTAACCCTTTTCACTAGTTCAGGATGTGCCGACTGATAAAGAAAAGTGGCTTTTGAGCAGGCGGTTCATACCTACAGTAGACATTATAACTACGGCGAAAACTCAAGTCGTATTGATATACTGCTCTCGGGATATTTCGTAGACAATGGAAAATATCTGTGCCCAGTGAGAAAACACCGCAGCCATAGATTAAGGGATGGATGCGTCCGGAGTGCAGTGCAGCCGTCGATTGCCGTAACGGAAACGTCGCGAAGAGGCCCTCGGAAACGCGCTCTCGTAGTACGTGAGCTTTTGTAGTCGACTGTACATTAATAAGAACATCTGCCATGATGCACCAAGACAACAGTGTGCTGGGGTAGGTTGAGTGAGATTTTTTTCTTTACTTTAATCCACTTTTGTGAAAGAAAAAAAAGATGATGAATGAAAGTACCGGTGGAAGGACATTCGCAGCAACAGTTGCAAGAAAAAAAAAAGAGCTATATTAGCGGGGTTCTGCAGGAAGGCGAGCACCTTTCTTTCTAATCCGTCTTTTTTCACTAAACAATGGTGCCTAGCGGACAAATCACTGTACGTATCTTGCTCTCGGAGGCTCTTGTCCTGGCGCCCCCACTTGTCTCGGCCCCTACCAAAAAGGCACGGTAGGAAAATTTAACCACGGTAAATGTCCCATTGGCGTACTGGGGAAGGGAAAAGAGGTGCGAAAGAATGAAGGAGAGAGCCCGCAAATGCACCACAAAGCCTATACCAAAACAGAAGAGGGCAGCACAGGAAGATGTAAACGGCAGATTTTCTGTTCGACAGTGCTTTTTCTGATCGCGATCACCGAACGCTTCTACATGTGTTTTTTTTTCTGAGGCGTGCCCACCGCTAATTGATTGTTGTCACGAGCTTGTGTCGTTTATGATGGCAGTAGCCGGTGTGTTCAAGGTGTAACTCTTTATTTGGTTGAACTTGTGGCCGAAAATGAAAACTCAAGGTGCGTACGAACACTTCACGCTGCATGATAGCGGTGAACATAGCGTCGGCCGTCGGTTCATCCGATCTGGACGCGTTGGCATTTTACAAGTGGCATCGAACCTTCCATTCTCAGTGCCGATGGCCGCGAAACTTCCAGAACAAACTGAGCTGTTCGCGTTTGCGCGCTGGAGCCTGTGTATCCCACGATTCTTAAATTATCTCGAAAGTTCCCAGACATTCTGCTGTGGTTCGCCAAAGGTAGTGGTTATGCGTGTAACACACTGGTTACATATAAAAATACAAAAAAGGAACGCACGTGGTCGTATATTCATGACCATGAACGAATGAAATTATCATACACTGAGGAAGAAAAAAGAGAGGAGGGACAATTACGTCACACGGTTGAAGTCCATCTTGCTGGCAAAACACGTGATCAAAACGTCAAAACATGCGGCAGTTTCAGTACTTTCGGTGGCGTTCCTTTTTTGAACCTCCTGCGGGAACCAACTGGTCTGCGCCAAACAAGCGCTCTTCAATTAAAAGCTACCGGGCGCGCCAAACCTGGGAGTGTCGGCAAATCTCATTGCTTGCGTGATATTGGCGCAAAAGGTCACGTGTTGGGCCACCAAAACGGGCTGGTCTGCGTGACGTGGTATCATATCTGCAACAGCCGGAGATACCTGAGCATTGAGTCCGTCGACAACGTACGAGTATCCTTGCTTGGCCGGCAACCGTATGTGGGTGGTGTAGGCGTAGGCGAGAGGATTGTACACCAGCAGCCACGCCTCGTCAGCGTCCACCGGCTTGCAGTCATCCTCGAGGCAGTGGGAGAACCGGAGCTGGCTCACAGAGTTGCCTTCCCACACGACGGCGCGAAGGGCCTCGTCCATCACGCGCTGTACCACAAATGGGCAGCGTCGTTGTGCCCGATAAACCACATCAGTGCATGTGCATACGTGCTGTCTTCACGTGTGTTGTTTTGAGCTACGTAAAAGATACTAACCACCAACAAGGCCACATTGAAACTCTCGTCGACTAACTAATACGTGTGCACGTAGGAGGAGGCATCCCCCCTCCCTTTATTGTCTGAGGATGGTTCCATGCTTGCCCTATGTTTTTACTCTGCCGGACCATCGCTGTTCAAGTGAGGGGCTGTGCCCATGCACGTTATTACCAATGATGGCGACGGAGGGCCAGTGATGTGGCCGGAACTGTTTACTTACCACCATTAAATGGACCAAGAGCAGGCCATTGTGAGAAGTCGCTTCATTTCCTACATTCACTGCGAAACGCCCTCCTTTCGAACTCGACTTGAGGTGGAGCAGGGAAACATAACATTCCCTTCTTCCCTAAAGCGCACGCCTATGCATAAACAAAAAAAAAAACTCAATGCCATCTCAGGGTACCCTGCAGTCCCTTGCGATAATTCCTTGTCTTTCGGCAAGCCCGTCTCACAAATTTGTGCTTCAATAGTTATGAACTGAAGCGAAAGTGCTGGCCAGCCTAGTTGGAACGAATTCATCTATTAGCTACTTTGCGCGAGACAAACAAGGACGAAGCAAGGAGTACACATTGACGAGTGCAATCTAACAACTGGTATATTTCTTGCGCGCAGATTGCCCAGATCATGTCGGCTACTTGAACAGATCTATTTTCAAAAATAAACTGGTTGTTAGTTAGTAGAAACACTACCAAATAGCCCAAATGACTTTACACAGTTAGCTTGCGCTCGTCCATGTGCATACTCTTTGCTTCGTACTTGTTCGTCTCGCGCAAAGAGAGCTAAAAGTTAAACAGTTATTCATGAACTTGAGTTTCACGTGTCTTGTTCAGCCAGCACTCCACGCCACACTCGACGTGGGTTCATGCCTGATAGTGTCGTGTACGCGAGAAACTTCCGTCCCGGGCCCGAGTTGTTTCCTGGGCGTGTGTTCCGACGTTTGGGCCCCGCCATGTATGAGCTGCGGACTGCAGGCGGTACGGTGCACCGACGCCACCGGGGCCACGTGCGCCGAGCCTGGCACTGCGAGCCCGGAGGTTCAAGCCATGAAACGGCCCCCTCGTTTGCTCTCCCGACTACAACCAGCCCCACTCTGGGACCTGCCAGAACTGAGACGGGCGTTCCAACTGTCAACGCCGGTCAGCGCGACGTTACGGCATCGATGACTAAGGGGGAAGAAATGTGATACATCGTGAAATAACACAGAGTGACGTCAGTGGGCCACGAGAGAGCATGCGCCAGTTATCCCCAAGTGTGCTGATACCTTAGTAGTGTCCTTCACCTTTTTGTCGCTGTTAGTCATGCGTCGGTCATTAAAGGGACGATAACCAGTGAACAGCTTCTTTGATTGATTGATTGATTGATTGATTGATTGATTGATTGATTGATTGATATGTGGGGTTTAACGTCCCAAAACCACCATATGATTATGAGAGACGCCGTAGTGGAGGGCTCCGGAAATTTCGACCACCTGGGGTTCTTTAACGTGCACCCAAATCTGAGCACACGGGCCTACAACATTTCCGCCTCCATCGGAAATGCAGCCGCCGCAGCCGGGATTCGATCCCGCGACCTGTGGGTCAGCAGCCGAGTACCTTAGCCACTAGACCTCCGCGGCGGGGCGAACAGCTTCTTTCAGACGAGTATTCCTCCCGAAACCAATGCAGTTGAAAGCTCGACGATGAGTGAAGAGCGGCCAGCAGTGCACGGAGCAGTAGTGGAGGGCAAGAAAATGCCACTTATTAATTATGATGGCTACAGTGGCTGTGGTTGCGAGCACCTTGGTAATCATTATTTTCTATGTCGGCATCGATAGAACAACACTATTTCCCACACCCTCATTCGGAAGCCGTACAAAGAGGCACTGGAACACTGATGAGCTACTTACATATCCCCACCACTGATTATTACCACGTGGTTTGTGCGCGGCTTAATTTGTGTCTACGTCTCCTCCTCATCTCAACAACGACCTCCTTCCGGGAATAAAAAGATCCCTTCATCCATCGTGCTGAAGCGTTTTATGCGTTAGCTTCAGTCATGCTATCAATAAAATTGATCTTGCCTCACAGCTAGCAGCGAGTTCTTACAGAACGTTTTATCCTTGTCGCTTTTAGCGCACCTGTTATGACTGTGGACAGTACTCACTTGACAGCGAGCGATGCCATTGTTGAGTAGCGCCTCGTACTGCAGGAGCACTTCGGGCCTCTCGCATCCCCTGCAAGTCACGTGGTATGCCGCAGAAACGAGTCAGCGCACTTGCCTCCATAGTCGCGAAAAAGAACGGGATGATGGCACCCACATACGCTATCACTTCGCTGTTCTGGGCGAGGGCCACGTTCTCCTCTGAAAAAGAAAAAACCGAACGAAACAATTACTGATTGAATAGATAAATAAGTAATTAACTATTATTGTTATACGTTTAATCAGCAGAAACAGATTGAGTTTAAACTTGGAAACTGGGGCAATTTTCGGAGCATTCACTTCAGGGACATTGCTGTTTAGCAGAGCTGCCAAACGACAACTAAATCAAACTTTGTGACCACGCAAGAAGTCTATAGCTTAAAATATAAGAGAAAAAAAGTGGGAATTTCAGGGCTGGTTTCTTCTTTGTTAAACACAATATACTTTCTCTTCATTTACATTATGCCTGCTGCAAACAACATCGTCTATATTTTCCTTGACTTCCCTGTCTGTTAGTTCTAATTATTGTAATTGCAGCACGCATGGGAGGATAGTTCGAAACGGCCAGAGATGTGCACACGGAAGTTCGTTTACATGTGGCAGGGTTCAGGCATGCACCAAGAACCAAATCTAGACTAGCAATCGTTCTACTTTTCAAGGCGAAGCTCGGGCGTATGGTCAAATGGTGGTTTATTAACATGTCAAATATTCCTGTCCTCGGAATGACAGAGAGTTGAGCTTTTGTTTGTAGGCATTCATGTTAAAAACATGGACACATTATTGCAAGAAGCGGCACGACCACTCACACAAGAGAGAAGCCGACAAAGTAGACGTTCGTGGTCCCTTGACATCTCCCTTGCGTCGGCGTTTGCGCACCAGCCCCGTCTTTCCACGCTAATCGATGTCCTCTTTAGAATACATGATTACGTATAGGCGTCAAACTCATCACTTTTATTAAAACCCAGAGGCTGCAATCGACGGGCGGAACAATTAAATCTTAATTTGCCAGTAGTCCACAACGTTTACGGTTGTCGAACAACATCCTCCAATGGTGCGAAAATTTGGGAGAGCATTCTGACCCTAATTACATGTCCGCCAAAAATTACGCAATCGCTCAGGAAACTTTTTCTGTCGTTGAATTTCTTGTCACCATATTGACGTCGTACAATAACTGTGCGCGTGTCCAATTGATTATGTTGTTTCCTTTTCTTACATGAGCGTGCTTGCAAATGTAATTTGTGAGTGGAGTTTCTACGTAGAGAATACACTCGCTAATCCCACCACACGTACGTCATGTCTGTAACGGATCCTTGACGAGCAATATAGGCAAAGGATGTTACCGCAGGAATTTGTGCGAATCATTTCAGTGAGAATAAAACCTTACGGAACACCCGGATGTCCTTGCTGTGCACGAAACCCAGGACGGAGAGCTGCTTGCAGGCCTGCAGCACGCCGTTGGCTCTGCGCACGGTGCGCTTGAAGGTGGGCTCGCTGCTGAAGTAGCCCGTCCAGTAGGCCGCCTGCCGAGGAGGGTGGGCGCCGTCGGTGTAGGGAAACAGGTCCTCGTCCACTTCGGTCCACGCCTCGTTGGCCTCGAGGAGTGAGCGGAGGTAGCACGACGGAGTCGAGTAGAAGGCGTGAACCTTGGGAAGGTGCTGGTGCTGCACAAGTGGAGGAGACGGGGATATAGAAGCTCGATATGTAACACAGTTGATTGGAACGGCTATGATTCCTTCTCAGACATTCAATGTCTTTTCCAGAGTTACGTCTCTAGTGATAGAGAGCCTTGTAAATAAGGTGAAGGTGGCGGTCAAGCCATCAGGCGAGACAAAGAACGGCCCCAAGCACGTTTAGTGCCTGCCCCTACCGTGCATTAGCTCTCTACAAGTGCGGCGTTGCCGTCGTTTTTTTGGCATCGAATAAGCTCGCACGCATGACTGCCGCTGTGAAAGGGCAAAGCCAATACAAAGCATGTAAAGTGAGCTATACGCCGCCTATTTTGTTCAGTGCGCAGTCGTTTACAGGATTCCACTGCCCTGTGGCCGTTGTTAAGTCGATCAAACATGGCCAGTGCCTAAACGTTAGGCTGCGTCAGCACCACAAGCGCGGCCGAAGGTTCGTAGCAGCGCACCCCTTGTCAATGGATGGGGAGGGGGTGACTTTGCGCCTCCCCCTATGGGGAGCACCTAGCGGCAGTACAGGCGCCGGCCGGGGTGGGCAAAACCATTGCAATATGAAAGAAAAAAGAGACACGTGTGTTAGCAGTCCCTCGCTTGCATTATCTGACAAGGAGCTTCATCATCTGAAAAGAAACAAATACCGCAGGCATTCCAATCTGCTTTCGAGTTTAACGGGACTCTTGTGCGCATGCGTTCACCAATTTGTGTCTACGCATGCTTGAACGTTGTAAGTAATAAAGTTTATTTGAAGTCTGGCGTCTGGTATTTCTTGTTTTCGTCAAGTCTCTTTTCGCTGACCTATTATTCTAGGCACCAGCAAGGTCAGCTATCCACTTTAAGAACTGTCGGCTTGACGTGTTGTCAGCGACTCATCATTCACTACGCAACACCAGACAAAGGCGAAAAAGAGAGTGGAACAGCACGAGAGCCAACTTACAACTATCGTGAATGATTGATTCCGTTTATATATGTTTTTTTGTAAATTTGCGTCTGAAAGTTGAACTTCAATTATTTCAAAAGCAGAAAAAGTCATTGTGATGAATTGTGCTATGAAGGCTCGAATGAAGTCAATTGCACTATCACGTCATGTAACATAGGCAAAAATCAAGCACGCGGCAAAATCTTCATGCGTGAGGTTACGGATTTCAACGTGTATTTTCCGTACTTTCTCGACATCAGCTCAACGGAATTTCCTTATTCTTGGCACGTTATGTGTCTGGCCCCTTCAGAGGACAGTGTATATACTTCAGTTTTATTAACGCCTTAGTAGACACTTTCAGAATGTATGACGTCATGGTGCTGGCAGTTCAAGGTTGCCTTTCTACCCGCATTTTCGTTTCGTGGGTCTTTTCACCTACCACGCATCGTCTGCTAGGAAACAGATCTGTTTCCTAGCAGACGACGCGATCACTCGAGTGATCGCGTCGTCTGCTATTTCCGATCACTCGAGTGATCATTACTCTTTCCGATCACTTGAGTGATCAGGAAAGAGTAATTTACTGATATGAAGAAAAAAATCGTTTTTCTCCTTAGTATCCTCTCAGGTGTGCGAAAAATTGATCTTCGAAACGAATCGAATACAAGTCAAATAGCGCTGACATAGACTCGAATACGAATATAAATGACCTTCGAGCAATAAGGCTGAAATCTTCTAAGCCATCTTTTCAAAACAGTTTAAGAGTTATACGAAATTTTATTTGAAATGAAATATTCGAAAGCTTTAACAAAAGAACATTACGACTAATTTTAACAGTAAACTATTAGTACAATTGATTTCAAACGAGGAAAGCATCGTACCGAGCAGCAACTGCGGCACTCGAAATATCTTGTAACTTCAGGCGGCTTTTAAAGAAAACTTAAACCTGAACATTTTGCAATTTTCGTAAGTTAACATAATCATGACTGTCACGGTGAAGAGAGTGGATTGACGACACTGTCGTGTTGGCAACACTGTTGTCTTAAAAAGCGAAGACGACGTCATCCTGTGATCCGTGTGTCTATTTACTCGTTTCTTGGCCTATCCCCATGAGTCGGTGCGAGTCGCACTTTTAGGCCAGCATCGACATCATCATACGTATGGCGTCAATAGTGCCAAGCTGCATTGGCTGCATGCATCTTCGCATTTCGATGACAAAAATACGTCACTTTTCTAGCATCTCGTTCCTTCGAGCGTTCGATTCGCTATTCGAAAAATTTCGAATACTCGCACAGCCCTACATTTAAGGCTTTCTGACTGTGATGCGGGGTTCTTGTTGCTGACTTGTTTTTCTCCCGGGCTGAGCCCCGGAGAGTTTTTCTAATAAGGACAAAGCCGTTCGGTTTCCAAGAAACACACAAAAAGTTTAATTGAAAAGTAAAAAGGCAAAGATTCCTCACAAAACAAAACACTTAATAAACAGTTGACTGGACATGACGAAACACATCTGTAAACACCCAACAAGAACGTTCAGAGTCAGTAACTAAACCTAACGTTCGAAAGGGGCTGAGTGATGGGAGTAGCGCAAGAGTATCGGTGCAGTCTCACCCACAAGTTGGTTTTCGGCGGTGATGAGAAACCGGAACGCCGTGACTCCTGCGTCAATGCGTGGGCTGGACGAGGACGAGGGAACGCTGGCTGCTGGCGACACGTCGAAAAGCCCTACCAAATCGTGATGGTTTCGGCTTGAGGAGCGTGGACACGTCGGAGACGGGAGAACGCAGGCTGGTGGCGACGCGTCCGGGAACTAGGGTCGACCTAGTCAAGCAGCTGGGCGCACAGCTCGGGCCCGGAGCCCGACGGCTGTAGCTCGCCTGCCGGAACCAAAGTCCGCAGGCCCTGGAAAGGAGTTCAGGACCGGATGGCCACGGTCCTTTGGAGCGGGAACCCGACAGCAGGAGGCCCCGGCCGGTGGAAGTCCTGTAGGCTCGGGTCCGGAACCCAACGGCCCATCTTCAGCGCCCGGTCCGGTGACGACCTTCCGCTTGCACTGCCTGCCTCGAATTCCCCTTGCTCTGGTCTGCTCAGGCTCCTGCTTCAGCTCTGGCCCACTTGTCTCGTTCTCATTGGAGATACTGCTGTTTCGTGGTGTCAAGCCATTGGGCCTTGAAATCTCCGTGTTCGCTGCCCATTGGATGTTTTACCTTTTGTTTACTTCACGTCCTGCCACGCATCCTCGTGCTTGACGCTCTTTAACGTCGTCATTCTTGTTTAAGCAGCACCGCACGTGCACTCTGGTATTTCTCCTTTTGTTTTTTTTTTTTTTTTTTTTTTTTTCGTGACGCGCACTTTTCGAAGGCGCGCACTTTGAACGCGCACCACACATCACATACGCCCCCCTTTTATTCAAGTTTTTTTTTTTTTTAGAAAAAAAAAAAACTGCCGATGAGTGCGCGTTCTGCACTACGTCACAATTAAACCACATATTTGCACCACGCAGTTCAACACATCACCGGGCTACAGTTCGCTACATCGTCCAAATGTCCACACTTAAACTTTAGATTCACCCAATTGCATTTAAAAGTTCTGAAACCCGGAATAAACCTTTTTACTACAAAATCGACTATGGACAAAGCTACTTGTGTCCGCATCTAAAAGTCGAAGTCCAGAAAGAGCTACCGGTTTTCTAACCCTATACTCAGGTTATCGCGTCCCAAACCAGACGCACTGCCCTTCTCGCACGTTTCGAAAGTAACTGTGGCAAACATGCTTTTATGCACTTTCGCTGAAACGCGTGTCTGCGCCCCCGCCGGCCACATGAACGCTTACCGGTCACAGAGGAACAGGGCGCGGTCTCGAGCCGTCGGCGTCGACACGAAACGCACTGAGACACGAATGTCCAAATGCCACAATCTCTCACACAAATGCTTTCTTTTAGTTCACCATCTAATGAACACAAGCTCGGGGTGCCCTCAGCAAGCCCAAACGCTCCGACAAGCGTGTGAGGTTCCTGGATTCTTGAGAAGGGATGCCGTTGTGCTCGGTCATTATACAGCTCATCTTGAGTGGACTTAATTATAGGTTCAAAACCAATCACGTTCTCAGGTTCAAGACCCTGTCTGGCATTCTCCATACCTACCATCGAGCCCACCTCCGATTCGATACTGTTTATTTTGAAGAGTGCTTCAGCACTCCCATCGTGTTTTCTCGGACAAATAGCAGTTACGCTATCCTGTGAACTAGAATCCCCTCTCTCTCTGAGTGAGATATACGTATGGTCTAAGACCATTGACGTGGTGCCTGCTGCTACCTCTGTCGGTACAAAACAATCAGTGGCCACTATATCAGAGCCTTCATGGCATTCGCTGCCATCTTCCCAATGACGTTCTAGCGCTCCTTCCATGGAGCTATTGAGAGGTAGCCCTACCCCTTCCCGAAATGTGCTCGGCCTTTGAGACGTTCTGATACACACCTCATTCTGAATGGAACTTCTTTGTTCCCTGCTATCGAAGCTTTGCTCCACAACATTTTCCACAGCTTCTAGGTCGCCCATATCCAGGCGCTCTTCTTCATAGGTGCTTGGCCTCTCAGAGGTCCCCAAGCAGCTAACGGAAGTAATATGTTCCCAGCCAGAGAAGCTTTCCGTCGCTTCAACAAACTCCTCATGACTCCTGCCTTCTTGGCTGTCCACCTCTCTGCCTTCCTCTATCTGAGCTTCTCGCTCCGAAGTAAGGCTGTCGCGAGGTTCGAGGCCAACCTTGCAGGAATCGACTTCCCTCCAGCAAACGCTGCTATCGGAGCAAACATTCACCGCTTGCTCGACCTTCTGCATCGCCAGCTGCCCCCTTTTCGCCATCGCAAGCTCGAGTCGCCGCTCGAAGTCCACCCTCTCTAATTGGAGCTGCTGCTTCAGTATGCGTGTCTGACGCTCTAGCAACACTTTATTTTCACGCGTTACGCGCTCTAGCTCCTCCTTCTTAGCTCTAAGCACCAATTCAAGCTTTTCCTTCGCCGCCTTTCGTTCTGCAGCCCGTTGCTCACGCTCCCTCTCCATCCGCTCCTCGTACCATACTCTAAACTCCGCTCCCGTCAGTCCCATTTTATCCGCCAACTCAATTAACTCCCACGTGTTCGTCATCGTGTTAACCGCGTCAAAAAATCTACTGGAAAAACAAACGACTTTGTCCTGTCGCTGCGGACGCCAGTTTGTGATGCGGGGTTCTTGTTGCTGACTTGTTTTTCTCCCGGGCTGAGCCCCGGAGAGTTTTTCTAATAAGGACAAAGCCGTTCGGTTTCCAAGAAACACACAAAAAGTTTAATTGAAAAGTAAAAAGGCAAAGATTCCTCACAAAACAAAACACTTAATAAACAGTTGACTGGACATGACGAAACACATCTGTAAACACCCAACAAGAACGTTCAGAGTCAGTAACTAAACCTAACGTTCGAAAGGGGCTGAGTGATGGGAGTAGCGCAAGAGTATTGGTGCAGTCTCACCCACAAGTTGGTTTTCGGCGGTGATGAGAAACCGGAACGCCGTGACTCCTGCGTCAATGCGTGGGCTGGACGAGGACGAGGGAACGCTGGCTGCTGGCGACACGTCGAAAAGCCCTACCAAATCGTGATGGTTTCGGCTTGAGGAGCGTGGACACGTCGGAGACGGGAGAACGCAGGCTGGTGGCGACGCGTCCGGGAACTAGGGTCGACCTAGTCAAGCAGCTGGGCGCACAGCTCGGGCCCGGAGCCCGACGGCTGTAGCTCGCCTGCCGGAACCAAAGTCCGCAGGCCCTGGAAAGGAGTTCAGGACCGGATGGCCACGGTCCTTTGGAGCGGGAACCCGACAGCAGGAGGCCCCGGCCGGTGGAAGTCCTGTAGGCTCGGGTCCGGAACCCAACGGCCCATCTTCAGCGCCCGGTCCGGTGACGACCTTCCGCTTGCACTGCCTGCCTCGAATTCCCCTTGCTCTGGTCTGCTCAGGCTCCTGCTTCAGCTCTGGCCCACTTGTCTCGTTCTCATTGGAGATACTGCTGTTTCGTGGTGTCAAGCCATTGGGCCTTGAAATCTCCGTGTTCGCTGCCCATTGGATGTTTTACCTTTTGTTTACTTCACGTCCTGCCACGCATCCTCGTGCTTGACGCTCTTTAACGTCGTCATTCTTGTTTAAGCAGCACCGCACGTGCACTCTGGTATTTCTCCTTTTGTTTTTTTTTTTTTTGTTTTTTTCGTGACGCGCACTTTTCGAAGGCGCGCACTTTGAACGCGCACCACACATCACACTGACCCTGATGTTTTTGTCGATACAAATCTACACTCGCTGGCGGATAAGGGCGCCTAAGTTACCACTTGGCGTAGTTGTGGCGATGAAGTATTCAGGCATCTTTCTTGTTTCTGGTAAACCGATTACGAGTTCTTGATCTTATATATGCCCCTTACCTGTGGCGCACACCTACTGTGGGGGAGTGGTTTTCTAAAGTATTACGAAGCTTTAGAATAAGGGAAGTTATAGATTAGAAAGACTGCAGATTAAATAAAAAATTGTGGTGCTCGATCTAATGTATTTGCGAGTATGTTTGTTTTCCTGAAATATATCGCACGTACCCACTTTGGGGGATTGGGCAAGACTATGACGTTGAGACTCAATTTTATTTTAAGGATGAAGGCTATTTAAGAAAATAACGAAATGAAACGGCAATAATACGTAATATATTATTTAAACTACAATTAGCATGCTTTTTAGCTTGCATTCTAGACTGCCGTAAAAACCTGATTGAAACAATTTCGAAAAACTTCGTAAGGTTTTATCTTGTTGAAAGGACGAAGAATTTTAAATACCATAACAAAACGGTACTCGTCGATTAGCTCTGATGAAATCACACACGAAATCAAAGGCATCCCTGTGGCAGTATTGCAAGCCTGAGACACTGAAACTTAAAACATTCCCTCCCGATACGGTCAAGCCTATTTTGATTGATTGATTGCTTTATTTGCTTCGTCACAGTACAGTGTAACAGGAGGCGGAGGGAAAAGCCGTAATGACGGCTTGAGGGATCCTCCGCCCCCTTTGTGAACAATGGCAGCAGATGAAGGACATCACAATATCATACACTTTCACATTGTTTCAAAAGAGGAGTAATGAGAAGTCGAGGTCTAATACGAGAATATCTGCGACATCACAAAAAGTGATGTTCAATATTTTCTAGTTCTACGCAGAATCGACAGAGGGGTGATATCATGAGAGCAGCTCTGTGCAAGCATATGTAAGCTTAAATGGGGAGCGGGGGGGGGGGGGGGGGGGGGGCGGCATCGAAATTTAGTGATCGTCACTCCTGATTGTCGAGATTGGCTCCACTGGGACTTTCATAAAAATTTTAGGTGCTTACATTTTGTCCACGTGGTTATAGTTTTCATCCAATCTGTGTAAATAGCTAATATTCTGTACATCAAAAGGTATTAGGTTTGGGCGTGTTGGTTATTCATAGTTCTTCCTAAAACAGAGCGCACAAAACACTGGGCAGAAAGAGATGAGGACAAGCGCTCCTGATCGCTTGTCCGGATTTCTTTCTGTCCCGTGTTTTGTGCGCTCTGTTTATCAAGATCTATACCTGATTGCGGTGAAGTATTGAAGACTGGAAGAACCTGAACTATTGGGAGATCTAGCGATGCGCGAGCTAAGGCGTCGGCCACTTCATTTATATTTAACTCACAGTGACCTGGAACCCATAGTAATTTCAGATACTTCGGCTGAGACAGAACTAAAGATCGTATACGTCGTTATGGCACGAGAGGTAAGAGAAGCTGTAAGAGCTGTGCATACCGAGAGCGAATCAGTTATTATTCTCCTCTTGCCGAAGGTTTCGCTGTGCCATGATGACACCCATGAGCTCAGCTTCCCAAAACCGGAGTGAAAACGGGTAGTCTCACGGCGAATGACCAGCCAAGTGACTGGGAGACTATTCCTACGCCACCTGTGCGCCGTTTGTGTACTATCAGCCTCGACTTCGTCCTTCTCTGGTGTTGCCCACTAAATTGTGAAGGGAAGATGCGTGGGTGCAGAAGTGCCTTGAATTTGGCTCGTTCACTGCTGAACTTGAAGAGGGGAAAGAGGTCCGGGACACAGGCACGCCCCGCATTCTATTCAACTGGCGGAGAGTCTCACGGCAGCACTCCCCCTTGCCCCTCCTAATTTCGGTTATCCGCTAAAGAAAAAGAAAACAAGCACTGGAGGCAAACCTGGAAATAACGTGCTTCTAACAGCAGCTTGATTTCGGTGCATGGCTAGTAAACTGCGCCTATAATGCAACGTCAGTATCTCTAGGTCGTCACTATTGCCAGAACCCTGCACGGCCGTGACCACACGCAGCAAACCATTACGAGCAGGGCTGGCGGACTAAGTGACTGTATATACGGCACAGCCATGGTGGCCCCATCACGGGGTGCCGCCACTACACCTGCCTATGTTTTTAGGACGAGCAGCGTTTGTCAAATGCTTGAAACAGCCTTCGAAGTTTTTATCTTCTTGTACCAACGAGAGGAAGAAAATCGCAAGTGAACACATGTTACCTTTGCGTTGATGTATCGAATGAGGGTGTCGATGTTCTCGTAGGTGTACGCTGCCGACTGGTAGTCGCCGCCCATCGAGATCAAAGCCTGGTTCGTCTTGTGCGTCTGCAAAAGGTAGTGAGCACAGAACGACACGCAACCACCAGTCCCTTCGTTGATTACACAAAAACTTGACTTGTCCGGAAGTAACAGCGCAAAGACACGACGAAGTACAGTAGACTGCGTTTCTCTGTGCTTGCGGCTTTGCTCCGACAGTTCCGAACAACGTGCGACTAGTAACCAACTAGCCTGAACCAAAGAATGCGCTACAGTTTCCCATCTAAACTCATCGAACGTCGGAGCTCATTGCGCTATGTGGTACCCCTGCCCTGTTTCCGTCGCACAATCTCAGAGACGCGGTGCAGACGGTGTACGGCGAGACTCCGGGATCAGTTCACTCTCTCATTGAAAACGTTTTCGAGCGGAAGGGCCACACTGAACGCAGGTGAAGGCGTACATTGAGGTCAAAGATTTAGGTGCCTCATCGAACACCCAGTCTGATTGATCACCACGGAATCAACACGACTGATGAAAAAAAAAAAAGAAGAGCATCAACTGATAACGTCACTACCTAGGCTATATTCTCGTCGCAATCTAAACAGAGTGATCCGAAGTAATCGCGAAGCTTCCCAGATGTGGCGGCGCGGCCTTCACCGAACGTTGATAACAGCGTTTTGAGCCTGAAACACGAATGCATCAAAATAATGCTTATAAACGCGTGTGGCAATATCGGGACGTCACAGATCTGGCGTGAACACACGGAATCACTGCTTCCTCAATGGTGGGTCTATCAGTGCGAAACCAAGTTGGGGACAGAAAGCCTTCAGATGAGAAGAAGGAGAGACACGGTGACAAGAGAAGAAGCATCTTGAAGTCATCTGAGGCTAATGAATAGAAGACACTGCGAGTTTTTCTAGCACTGGGGTGCACTTGTCTCAATGCACAACTTCGTAGATAATAGATGGAGCACGTGCAGATGAGAACAATCGTATCCACGCAGTACCTTGCGTGAGCTGTTCCACAAGACAGCGGCAGCAACAGCAGTCAAAGTCGGAGAAGGTTCTACATAAAAGCGATCTGAATAGCAAAGAGTTTCACAGTCAGCCAACAATGAGAAACATGATTCCTTCTTACCTGAGACGCCACTCTTCTGATTAATTCCTCGGCCCTTCCGACGGCGTTCGCCACCTGAACAAAATTAGATATATATGATTATATTAGAACTTTTCGAACACTACTTCAGCCTATACTACTCAGTGCGCTCATCAAACCTATCTTACAAGAAGTCAGGTGGCAAGCACGCGAAACTCATAAAAAATTCATAAATTATTGGCATGTGGGTCCAGATAAATCATACATCTTCATGCAATAATACCTAGCGCGGAATCTGGCGCTGCGATTGTATACCCCCATGAGAATTATGAGAAGTACAGGCTTCGGATCGGATTGCGTTAGCGAGCGAACTATTCACGGATCCTTTTCTACAGTTTCAGTTTTCTTCTTCGTGCAGTGTGGGTAGTGGGTGCGGTGCAAAGCACTGAAGCAGCGCCTTTGTTGTTCAAAGAGGCTAAAGACGACTAGGTCGGAGATTTACTGCGGCTTCCGAGCTTTACGAATCGTATTCGGCAGTTTAGGAGGAGCATTGTCCACTCACTGCGGCGCATATAAATAGATGAGGCGTCTCATGATGCGAACGGACGACGAAAGCAAATGACACATATAAACACGATAATCATGGCATGCGTGTCATGTAACAACGTGACTACATGCCGTACTCATGATGCGCTGGCGGCCGTTTCGCCACCTTCACATATACCAATTCTGGTATCTACGTCACGTGAATGGATGACGAAGGTACGTGACTGCTGCAAACATGATAACCATGAGATGCGTATCATGTAACACCATGACTACGTCCCACACTCATGATGCACTTGCGGCCGTTTGGGTAGCTTCACATATATCAAATTCGGTACTATACGTGACGGAAATAGACGAAGAATGTCGATGACATGTCCAAACATGACGAAACTGATAATCATGGCATGCGTGTCATGTAAAACTAGACTACTTGCAACACTCATAGCGTGCTCGCGGCCATTTCGCTAGGTCTACATATACCAAATTTGTTATTACGAGACTTGAATGGACGACGAAGCGCTGTAGTTTGCATTTTCTTTCCCGTGTCTGTTTTTGCCGCGCTATTATTCGTTTAATCGGAAGTGCACCAACTCACCCAATTATCCCTCCTGGCGGACGACGAAGGTAAATTACAAGTAAAAACATGACAATCATGGCATGCGTGTCATGTAAAACATGACTACATGCTCCGCTCATAGCGCGCTCACAGCCATTTCACTAGCTCAGCAGTAAAAGCTCGTTAATTCGAATTTCACGGGACCGGAAAAACTGTCCGAATCAACCGAATGCCGAAATAACGAATGAACAGGGAAAACAACATTTGAAATCAAGCTGCAGAAGCATACCTTTATTTGTTGAAGTATTTTGTAATTGTCGTCTGCGTTTTCGCGCAGATTCCGGCTGACATCACAATTTTTCTTAACTGTTCCAAATGGCCAACAGCGCGCAAGCTGTCGGGAGTGTTCAGGCAAGCGTCCTCTAATATTAACAGCGCCTCCGAGACTTCCCGTGAGGTGCGATGAGGTCGCGGTTGTATCTCCTCGCATGATTCTTCGTCGGAATCGTGGTGTTCATGGGCGCCGGTGACATCATTAATAATCTCTTGATCGGTCAGGAGACCACTCGTGGCGACACCATGATCAATCGCGATGTAGTCCTGAAATGTCACATCTGTGGGAAGGACAGCATCGAAAGTCGGGCAGTCATCGTCGGTGGAACTCTGCCGCTTTTTCGGCGTTGCTATCACTGTAGCGCACGATGGTGGTGGCATGCAAATACGGTCACAATGGAAGAAAAAGAGAACTCCGCAAGAAGAGATGGTTCCGACACGACAACACACGGGAAAATGGCGTCAGAGGCGCTGAGTGGAGAAGAAGACGCCGACGTTTGGTGACGCTGCGATCGCCCCCACTAGTTGATGATGATGGAGATGCCACTCAGGTTTCGGTTTCACTCCAGTGGTGCCAGCGCTGCTTTATCACACTTTAGTGTAGCAGCGGCCGTCAGCATTTGTGCGAACTAAGCGGTGCGGAGCCGAATTCCGACGAAATAACGAAGGTTTGGTCTCATAGATTAACATGCACTTTGGCCGGGACCAATAGAGCCGTCCGAATTATCCAAATTTCCGAATTAACGGGTGTCGAATTAACGAGCTTTTACTGTATCAAGTGAGCTGAACAGACGACGGGTAAATGACACATCTAAGCATGATAATAGTCACATGTAAATCATGTACGGCATAATTTATATCCGCCTCGTAACGTTGTGCTGATTTTAAAGTGACATATCAACCTTCCTTATTCGTGCTTCGCATATCATCGATTCCTATACAGTACGCGGGATCTACCATTTTTTTTAATGTGGAGATATGCGTGGAGGGCTATCGACATTAGGGATTTTTTCGTCACTACTTTCTGCACTCTCCCGGTAAATAGCCAGTTATAGTATAGTGCCCAGATGTAGTTCTAGTATACCGGGTTTACTGAGATACCGGACGTACCGTGATAGCGGGGTCAAAATGTGCATGCGCAGATAGCGTGATCAAAGTGTGCATGCGAACGGTAAGCGGTACGTCACCCGTACTGCTCACCGTTCACGCGCTATTTTTCATATTTAACGCTACCCTGTTAGCGTAGCTGTACGTAGCGTACGTACAACATGGCGGCTTTCTCGGACGCCCGCTTCGAAGTGATTTGGGCGTAATTGTTGAACGATTCACTTTGTTCGCAGCAAACGACTGTTTAAATTGAGACGTCGCTAACCTTCAGTTAGCTTCGACGACCGAGTACTATGGTTAAGCGGGCGAAATGCTTTTAGATAGCCTCTCACATCGAACGAGTGTAGGCCTAACTACAAGATCGATGTAAATGAATCAGCAGCATAAACGTTTCCGCATTTCGTGCGTGGTTCATATTAATTTACTTTTTATTCTGCTAAAATAAACTTGTAACCATGCTTCGCGCGGTGACACAGGCAGACATTCTCGTTTTCTTTTTCACTGTTCTTACTTCTCAACCTTCCAATAGGTGGCGCCACCATTCCTGCTCGGGCACGTACCACGTAAACGCTATCCCGCTAAACTATAAGACGCAGTCCACAACAAAAGTTTGATGCACGGTAGCGCCATTCCCTCAACCTCCGCTATCACGTTAACGGTAAATCATAACTGTCAAGGTAGGCAGCCGTTCTACGCACCGTCTGCGGGAGTTCATGCGATATGGACCAATCAATGTTACTAGAATATATGGACTGCACGAAATTGCCCGCACCAGTCTCACGGCGTTATCTTCTTAACGTAAACCGTGCACCACACAGAGTATAGGATCAGCCAGTTCTTGATGAACCATGAGCGACGCAACTGGTGGAAGTTCGTCGTATACCGCTGCACAAGCTGCCCCAGCAGAAGCTCGACGCCGCCGGCACCTGAATCCAGACATGCGCGCCCCGTGTGAATTCTGAGCTCAGAAGGCAAAAACGGCAGTGCCGTAATCGTCGGTGAACTTTTTCTCTTGGTATTTCTTTGCCGTTTCATCATTCTCAGTGCGTTTTCTTTATTGCGTAACCGTTCCCACACGCGCTCACATCCATGTGATACAAATAATCAATAGAACTTTTCATCCCCGTGCCTCCTTCTTTAGCGCTGTTTATTTTTCACTAAGCACGCAGCTGATTTCGCCTTTCGTTTCACTGAAAGTCCCAATCGACGCCAGCCAACACAAAAACCAGTAATAGCAAGGCAGCAGAACATGTGTTTAACAAAAAAAAGAAAAAATAAAAGCTCGCATAGAACGTGGCGCCAGATTTCCGATCAGTGAATGTGAGGAACTTTCACAAGCGAGTATATAGCTTTCACGCGATGTCGTACCGTCAGTTTGTCCTTGGGGCAATCGGCGTCGAAACAGTAACCCTTGGGCCAGCCTCGACGTGCTGTTGCCGTGAAGATTTCTCCAGCCTCTCCTGCAGCACGAAAATATAGCATTACCTTCTGACCATCCACCCAATTATAGTCTTTGAAACAAATTCATTATGTTGAGTAACAAGGAACAATATTTTCGCACGAAGTAATGGCGGAATCATTACCGCCTCTTGGACCCGCTCCAAGGTGAGGCATTGTAGGTCTGACCCAGTTATACTCGCTTAAGTTAAGCATCGTAATTTCCTGCTGCGGTGGCTAACGTTTGTGCAGTTGGGTAGACGCATCTGTTTCTGTCCATATTGTTGGAACCTATTCACCTTTTCATAAACGCCTCCCTGGGCGCCGCAATAGCCCTCCTTGGGCTGTGCAAATTGGCGCGTCCCCTCGAAAATGCACTGGAAACGCTGCGCTTAGCCTTTGTACTCCCGCGCACAGCCCATCATGGCGGTGTTTTTTTCCTTCCTGTGAAAAGTTGTATAGGAAAGAATACGGTGCGGAGAGATGACCCACTACGCATCGCGTTCTTATTCAGATTATTATTGTCCTCATAAACGTGATCGTCGTATACAGAGACGGATTCGAACACGATTCTTTTGCGTTGCAGCCTAGTATCCTGCCACTTAACCACATCGGTTTTTTAAACAAGGTAAATATTAGAATTCGTGTTAAAATAGTGCACAACATCGCACAGAGTTGCACTGTTGCAGTGCTATGGCGACAATAAGCGTACAAGCACTGCTTGGAAAGAAACGCGAAGGCTGAAAACTAGGGAAAGTTCGTCATCATACGCTGCACAAGAAATGTGGCGAGACCAAGCACATCACTAAGATGGGGTACCAGTCCGGTCGAAAGTCAAGTTCTTCATAAACATCCTTCAAGTCACTCGGATGAAATGTCTGCGTGAAGAGGTGATCGGCTCTGTGTTCCAGTCCTGCATACGCGTCTTCCATAGACTGTGTATACCGACAAGGAAAAACATATCGCACAAAACTTCATCAAGAGATGTTGGCATAAGATAACGAACAGTGTACGAATTAGTTACAATTTTTGTCTGCATTGTTTGTTGGAGGACATCCCGGAATAGCATGGCGTCTTTGCAGCTCGCTTAGCAATGCTCTCTTTTTTCAGAAACATCACAGAGACGGCAATTAAAAGTCGAGACAAAAATATATATTCTTTTAACCAAGTTTTAACAGTTAGTGTTTCATAGTTAAGTTTATAAAATAATGTTTTAGAATTGGGAGATATAAACATTAGATAGATATGTGGGGTTTAACGTCCTAAAACCACCATATGATTATGAGAGACGCCGTAGTGGAGGGCTCGGGAAATTTCAACCACCTGGGGTTCTTTAACGTGCACCCAAATCTGAGCACACGGGCCTGCAGCATTTTCGACTACATCGAAAATGCAGCCGCCGTAAACGGGATTTGATCCCGCGACCTGCGGGTCAGCAGCCGAGTACCTTAGCCACTAGACCACCGCGGCGGGGCAGATATAAACATTTATCGCACCCATTTCAGCACGTCATGGTCTTGAAGATTTAAGTATAGTGAGTGGTACATAGGTACTAAATCATTATAAAGTGTCTTGCATGAAACTGCATACAAATATTTCATTGAAAAGTGGTCTTTACAAAACCTATCTGCAGAGTAAACTTCCTACATAAATTTCCACAAACACGGGCGCGCGGAAAAGTTTAAAGAAACAACAATGTCAAGTGAGGAATCAACAAGGATATACTTGGACATGCTTTCTAAACGGACCTTATATGGACTACATGTCGAGGAAGGAATCACGTTAACATGTGTGATAGAGCGTTTCAGAAGAGTAAATTAACTACCAGACGTCACACCATGCTAACTGCGTAACGAGTTGGTAGTTGAGTGATTCCAACACATTACAAAAGACTCAGCCATAATTCTTTACCGTCATCAGCCACAGCATCAACAAAATGGACACAATTCTTTAGATATGTGTAGCGGGTACCACGCTTCTGCAAAGACCGAATCATGTTGCAGTGGGTGCTTCCCAGCATGGCATAAAATGTGACTTTTAGTGCAGTGGGTACCTTGCAAGCGTACTTACATTAGATCCCCAAGAAAGTGCACAACGGGTTCTAGAAATCTCGCCCTTTAACATTTCGCTGTGACGGCGTTGCACTCTCAGCGTAAGCCGGGTTTTTCTTAGATGCGAAGTAGATCATTGACTAGATTGTGTAACACTGTCCCTCCGTACGAGTGACGTCATGCTCCCTTCAGGGTGTTGGCAGTACGCGCTGACGTCACTCTCTCCCTCGCCTGCCGCGCGCTCCAAAGCTAACGCGACTGCTGCTCGCTACACCACTGACTCGTCAATTAACGAGCAATAAACCTGACGCGCGCCCAGCGCATTTAAGGTAGCGTTGAAACATGCCAGTGCTCCTCAGCTTCTGTCCCACTACTGTGGCACTACCACTGAATATTCCCTCTGCGGCGAACCTCACGCCACCCTTTCCCACATCCTATTCGGCTGCCCTGCTGATCCTCCCCCGTAGTGACAGCTTGCCATCTCAAGCTGGGAGGACTGGGAAGTCCTGCTCTCGTCTGGGGACCCGGCGTTGCCACTTGCTGTGGTAACAGGGGCAGCCGATGTCATTGAGGCGAGAGGCATGACTGTGTGGACGTCGTGTGGGACACGTGGTGTTCCAGGGACCCCAGGGGGTCTAAACACACTTGCTAATAATGTTTTTCTGTCCGTCCGTCCGTCCGTCCGTCCGTCCGTCCGTCCGTCCGTCTGTCTGTCTGTCTGTCTGTCTGTCTGTCTGTCTGTCTGTCTGTCTGTCTGTCTGTCCGTCTGTCCGTCCGTCCGTCCGTCCGTCCGTCCGTCCGTCCGTCCGTCTGTCTGTGTCACCTCTCTCTCGCTTTACCTCTTCATCGCTCGCAACGCTCGAGCGCACATCGAGTGGTCACACTTTTGGGCTCGTTTATCTGCGATGGAGGTAACACCGGAAGACGACGCTCCTTCGCCCACTGAAACTTCCACCGATGTGATTAGGCCTAATCTGGCCGTCGCCGGTGTTGCGAGGATTAGCGAAGCCGAGCGTGTTCGCGAATGGCGACGTCGTTTACTCAAGTAAACGCTACACTAAGTTTCGCTTCAAATCATTCTGGCAGCCCCCGCATCGGCGCCCGTTTCAACCAGGGCAACGCCGTGTGCACTGCTGCTGCTTCGCATCTCACCAGAATCACATCAGAGAGATGATCCAAGTTTTTTTAATGGTCGTGTGGTTCAAGATCGTCTATCTCGTGTCACAACACGGGCCATTTTAGAATGTAGCTTGCCCACGCATTGAATGTCTGCAGCATTCTCCTAAAATATTTTGATAATGTCAGATCTTTCTGCTAGCCATAGTTATCATGTTATCTATGATAGGAGGGGGAGCAATTCCATAGTTCAAAACATTATTTACACCAACATTCCACCATTCCAGATCCCAAAGGCTGGGATCGAAAACCTTTTTGCGGGCTTGACTAGGGCAACGACCATGGTTAGCTGTCTAGACCCTTCTAATATCATGTGGCAGTGAACCTGTCAAATCTTCTGTATTACTGCTATACGCACCCAAGCTGGCGTCTGCCTTCCAGATGAAATGCGATGCCACGTTCTCCGGGAGGCGACTGAGAAACAGGCCGTGCAGCCCCGCCTGCGACAGCAGCGACGCCAGCTCGACCGAGTGTCCCCACGTGTCCAGCTGCCAGGCGGCCCGCGGTCGTCCGCAGTCGCCCAGGTTCTCTTGCAGCCAGCGCATGCCCAGGGTGAGCTGGTCGACGAGCGCCGAGTAGTGGCAGCTCGCTTCGTCCGGCTGCACCCAGCCTCCGCCCAGGGGCTCCAGCCGACCAGAGTCCACCAGGCGACGCATCCGGGTTCTCGAGCTGACGTTCTGCTCCTGCCACCAGCGGGCCACGAATGCCACCTGCGACGAACAACAGCGGTCTTATTAATGTTCCTCGAAGCTTTTATTCATTTGAGCAGTATTGAAAACTGGGCAATTTTAGCGCTGTTTACCTCGACCAGTTTTATTCTTTTGTTTGCTCATTTGTCTATCATCATTTTATGATTGATTGATTGATTGATTGATTGATTGATTGATTGATTGATTGATTCAGCCTTCAGTACAGTTCGTACAGTACTCGAGCTTGTTACATGGTAACTACTATGAAATCGCGTTGCCTTAGGTGAAGCACTTGCCACCGAGTCTAACGCAAGGCTAAGACATCGTACAAGGCCTGTAGGACCTGCGTTAAATTTAAAGGGAGTAAGTTTAATTTCTAGTGCAAATCAGGAGCCTGGAAAAATGAGCTATACTAAGGCAATTTGTACAGTGGTGCTACAAGCTACCTTGCAATTGTGTAGCAGCCAGCACTGCTACATGTTTTATTAACTGTGGTAGTGTCCATAAAAAATGCGAAAGCGCAACGCCCCCACTCGTCAACTGACTACCACTTAAGGCCGAAGTGATTAACTGAGCCGAAATGGTTGCGACAAGCTACCGGCCACCACCTTTCGAACCACCGGCAATCTGAATTCAACGACCTCCTTTCGCCATTAGTAAAGTTATTTTTATACATCTGTATAACGCCGGTTGCATCTTCGACGGGCGGTACTGGCGACAAGTCCTCCTGTAAGGACAGGGATAAGCCGTCGCAAGTTCGCCTGAGCAACATCACTGCTGCAAAAGATGTTGCCGATGCCGGACGAAACGGCGACAGCTTTTGTCTTGGACCCCGATGCAAGGACAAGATGATCCAGGCATTCGACGGGGATGGGACCATTACGAACGACAGTGCCACCATCTTGAAGCTGATACAGATGCTCCACCCAGCTGCTAAGATGCTGGTGGAGCTCTCCAAGGCTCAACACATGGAGGCCGGTGACGGCACCACGTCGGTCGTGGTCATCGCTGGCAGTCTGCTGGACGCTGCGGCCAAGCTGCTTCTCAAGGGCATCCAGCCAACCACCATCTCGGAGTCTTTCTAGTCAGCAACGGCCATGGCTGTACAGGTGCTGACGGACATGTCGCACCCCTTCAACCTGGCTGACCGGGATTCACTGCTGAATAGTGCCTCCACAGCTCTCAACTCCAAGGTTGTGTCACAGCTTGCCTCCCAACTGGCATCCATCGTTGCGAATGTGGTACAAGCGAGGTGTACCCAGCAAAGCACACCAACGTAGACGTGCGCAAAATTAAGGTCATCCGCATGCTTGGTGGAACAGTGAAAGACACGGAACTGGTGGACGGTCTCGTCTTCACTCAGAAGGTGGCGGGCAGAGGGGGCCCTCATCGCGTGGAGCCTGCAGAACTAGATGGAGAACTAGATCAGGCCTATCTTGGCCTTGAAGGCCAAGATAGGCCTGATCTAGTTCTGCATATCTCCACTAAAGACTGATATACCACCAGATGATAGTGGGCGACTACACAGCAATGAACCAGATGCTGCGAGAGGAGCACGCCTACATTGTCAACATCATCAAGCAGATCAAGAAAGCTGGCTGTAACGTCCTGCTGGGCGCAGAAGTCGAGGAAGTGGAGTACCCTGAGCGACCTGGCACTCCACTTCCTTGCCAAGATGGAGATCCTTGTTGTCAAGGACATCGAGCGGGAGGACATTGAGTTTGTATGCCGGAGCCTGGGCTGCCGGACCATCGCCTCACTCGACCACTTTACGCGGAAGCGCCGATTTCGGCGGAGCTCGTCGAGGAGGTGACCACAGGCAGCTGCGAGTTCATGCGCGTGACGGGCGTCGCCAACCCCGATCGCACAGTCAGCATCCTTGTGCGTGGCTCCAACAAGCGGGTGCTCGAGGAGGCCGCGGTCAAGGAGACAATTTGGCAGGAACTCCAGATAAGCAAGCTAACGTGTTTCATAGCGGGACCTTACGTTTATCCCTACTGAACAGGCTTAGGGCTGTCGCACAGCTTGGCGGTCAGCTTTTGCGCTGACAACTCCGGTACTAACATTTTTTATGGGAGCTGCTCATGCGTACTTATCGCGGAGTTTTGTCCCAGGTCATTTATAACCTTGCATTCAAGCATGCAGTCGTTCACGGACAGTGTTAGGTGGGCGTCTGCAGTGGCCGTGCAGACGCAGGCTACCATTTATTTCAATAGGCCGTCCCACTTTTCTTAAAGCTGTTGTGGATGTCGAACTAAATCCAGTAAGACAGCCATTTTCTATCCCAAACTATGGCCACGCAGTAACGCTAGAGCACCTTTCTAGTGTTTCTTTATTCCCGCTTACAAGTGCATTCCTGGCATTGATTTCGATTTCCTTCTGTTCTCGGCTCTTCGCTCACCGTGAGTTGCTTGTTGCATCCGTTGCATCAAACGTAGAAGCTTCACTTCTCTCGGCCTGTTCCGAAATTTCTTTTCGCTATAAATTGAGTGCACTTCACGGGAAAATGTGTCAGGAACGCCTTGCCACGTTCAAGCATTTTCATAGGACGAATAATTTTTTAAAATTTAAATGACAAACTGAGGTTACCGTAGGTGGAGCCTTTACATGAGTCCCTGCCTGGGACCACTAATAGACGCGCAGGTAGGAGGAACATGCCGCCAATGCTAAGTGCAACATTTGATAAAGAAAGACCCTTGGCAGCGATGGTCTCTTGGCAGCGATGATTATTAAGTGATCCTTGGCAGCGATGATTATTAAGTGAGAGTTCCGAGTGCTTTCGCCATTCAACTAAGTTGTACGAAGCACCTGGCCAAAGAAGTACTGGACACTGTACAATTAAATTTTGTGTTATACCCGTCACACACAGTGGGTGCAACAGAGGCAGAAAAAATTGTTATAAAAAATAGCCTGACTAGGTCACCTGACTGCATTGAGAACTACATCGCGCACGATGTACACAATACAAAACTACTATGGGCACAGCAAATGGTGCTGTAAATCTTGCTTGTTAGAAGGCAATGTGAAAACTTCACTCGCAACATCTTCACACGCGTCAGAAACACTCAAAAGCTATCGTACTGCATGCCGCATGAATGATAAGACATAATTTACTTTAAAAATTAGGCGCAGCTTGGCACTCCCGCATTCACAGACACACTCACACCACTATCCTTCAAACCACATCTCAAGATTGGCGTCGTGTTTAAGTAATAATGAGCACAATAACAACCCAGTCTCACAACCACAATAGGTACACGACGGACATCATAGTGGATGGCTCTGAAAATTTCGACTATGTGGTCGACTCTAACGTGCACAGGTCTCTATCATTTCGCCAATATTGAAATACCACCAATGGCACGACAATCCATCAATCAATCAATCAATCATTTTATTTGGCATTCATTACAGCAAGTTAATGAACACGAGGTCAGGAACAAAGGTCCTAGCCCCCATTTTCGACAGCCGAAAGCAACCATGCGTCTAAATATATCTAATTCTAACAGAATCAACCATGCGTCTAAATATATCTAATTCTAACAGAATCGAAAGTTGGGCTAGTTGAATATGCATGGTATAACTGTCAGTTCAAGCGCACGAATAAACAGAAGGAAGAGAGGACAAGCGCTTGTCCTTTCTTCCTTTCTGTTTATTCGTGCGCTTGAACTGACAGTTATATCTAATTCTGCATTTCTACTAAATATTTTAGTTATCATATCTAACAGAGTAGCTATTAAAAATAAGCGCACATTGAAATGAATATATGACAGTTATAAAGTACGCGGTTTGCACAGAACAAGGACTGTAAAAACAAGCAACCTTTATTGTTCAGAGCAACACACTACCGCTGAGGAAACAAACAAAAAAGCACACTGCGAGTGGCAAGAAAACATCGGCCGGCCGCACTCACTGAGTAAAGAAGAAAAGCCACACTGTGAGCGGACACAGCTGTCACGTCTTCCCTGTCACTCGTACAACAACGGCTCCATCTGGGGCTTCCACTCCACCAGCTCACTCTCGTTGAACCACAAGGCGATCTCCTTCTTGGCACTCTCAACTCCATCGCTTCCGTGTATCAGGTTACGCCCCACCTGGACGCAGTAGTCGCCTCGCACGGTGCCCAGCTCGGCTTGGAGAGGGTTTGTGGCGCCAATCATGTCCCGACCGGTGAGTATGGCGTTCGCCCCTTCCCACACCATGGGAACCACGGGACCGGTCTGCATGAACTTCACCAGGCCGTTGAAGAAAGGCTTATCGGCGAGATCAGCGTAGTGTTCCTTGAGCAACGCCTCGCCGGCCATCATGAACTTGAGCGCGACCAGTTTGTAGCCGCGTTTCTCGAAGCGCGCGATGACCTCGCCCACGAGGCCTCGCTGGACGCCGTCCGGCTTGACCATGACGAAGGTGCGTTCCCGCGGAGCCATGGCGGGTTTGACGCGAATGGACTGCGGCAACACGACGCGGCTTTCGGGGCGTTCCGAAGTGGCCGCCCACTGGTCAGGCGCCGATGGAGACGATGCTTGAATGGCCTCTGGAAGCGCGCGTGACATGGCGGTGGCTGTCTCGGAATAAAAGACGAAGTTCACAATAGATGGCGAAGGAGCAGAATAGATGCAACTGTGCACGTCCGGTCTAACGGCGGTCACTGTCTCGGATTAGAAGAAGTTTTCGTCGAAGTTCACAATAGATGGCGAAAGAGCAGAACAGACACAACCTTGCTCGTTCGGTCTAACTGTATACCGTCTGCCGTAACCTCTGAGGGACGTGAGGCGAGCAGCGGTGGCGCTCTCACACGGAACGCATGAAATAAAAGTATTTTTGTAGCGACATCTATGGCTAAACTAACCAGCGCTGGAAGACTTTCAACGCAAGACTTGTCTAGAGAGAAGTGGAGGGTAGACGCGGGTTGTTTATTACGCGTCTTTCTTAGTCGCCCGTGCGCACGGTGTAAGATACAAACACTTTAGGTGGGGACACTTCTCGGCTTTCTTATGGGACGCGATCAACCAGATAAAGTAACAGAAACGCGCACCCATCGGACCGCTGCCAGCAGCGCACCAATCGGCAAGTCAGCACAACCTAAATATAGAAAAAAAAATCCGCGCCGTTGCTATAGCAACCGATGAGCCTGATGGCAACGCCAGCGTTCCGAAAGCGTCCCGCTTTTCACTCGTAAGAAGAAAAAAAAAAACAAATCATTCGGCCACTTCAGTCACTAGCGTGCCTTTAGCGCGTTTGATTAAGTAACAAGTGGCGTTTCAGCATTCCCGTTTGCGAAATGAATTGTGATGTAGTGAGCAGCCATGAAGGAAATCTGCTGAAAGAAGACGCCCACACAGTGAGTGAATATTGGAAGAAAATGCTTCGTTAGTGGTTGCCGGTCAAGTTACCCTACATACGTGCCAAGAAAAAGTAATATTATCCAATGTTCCTTCTGATCTCGGAGTGGCTATGAAAAAAGAGAAAAGAAGAGAAAAGCGAGCCCCGTTATTGTCTGCTTCAATGAGCGACACCGCCACAGTAGCTCACGAGGGATGGGGGTGAGGAGGGATAAAAAGGATAGGAGTAAAGATGTGGGAAAGCCGAAGAAGGAGAAGAGAAGAAGAGACGTGTGGTAAGCCACAGCGAGCGAGGACAAATCGAGGGGATAGAAGAGATAGGAAAGATGGAACACGGTCACTGGAGTCCGAGGACGGGGCGCACCTGCGAGAGCTCCTTTCGGCGTCGGTGGATGGCGTAGAACAAGTCCAGTAAATCAGAGCTGCACTGTCGTCGGAGGTGGAAGGTCATCGGCGGCAGGAGATGACGTAGGGCGAGTCCAGTCGGCCAGAGCCACGATGACGCGGGAGATCGCAAGCGCGCGGAGCGCGCGAGCGCACGACCGATCGGCCCGAAATCCAGCAAGCGATCGAACGCTTCAAACAACGGACTCAAGCGGTTTCTAGGAGGGACCATCTGCTCAGCACAAAGGATGCACTCTGCAGCAAACACTTCCCGGATGAGATTATTTGTCGTGAATATGAATGAATATATTTCGCTGCACGAACATTTGTCTTATGTTTATGCAACACAATGATTTATTTTATGTTTATTTATTCATGTTTAATTTTTATGTCTTTGTTTTATGTTTGTGCAACACAACTTCTGTTACATGTGTAGTGAGCATTTTTCTTCACTGTACTACATTGTGCATTCACTCATTTTTGTTGTTAAGTTCCCAGTGGCATTCTTAAAAACATCCCCTGATTGTTCAATGAGGAAAAAAAAAAGACTGTAATCTTCTCCCGTGCTCGGTGAGAAGGGATAGTGAAATCAGCGAGAAGACATGCGCACGGTCCCCTGTAAACATGTCTCCCAGTGGGAAACCACACGGTCGTGAACTTTTCGCCGTATAGTTATCATTAGAGCCACGAAAATAGAATTTGGCGCCACACCGGATGGTAGCTATGTAATGCACAACAACAAATTGGTCGAGGTATTTGAGTGGTTGCTCCCCTTTTCACGAGCAGTCACATGGTCCTCTTCAGGTTCTGCTTTGCTCGACATAAATATGGGCAAATCCCACGTACAGTGGGAATCGATGATATGCGAAGCACGAATGAGAAATGTTGATATGTCACTTTAAAATCAGCACAACATTACGAGATCGAGGTAAGTGACGCCGTGCATGACTTCCTTGTCATGATTATCGTGTTTGGATGTGTCGTTTACCTTCGTCATCTATTCACTTCACATGATACCAGAGTTAGTACATCTGGAGCAAGCGAAACGGCCGCGAGAGCGCTGTGAGCATGGCATATCATCATGTTCTTACATGACACGCGTGTCAGGATTACCAAGTTTGCACCAGTCATATATTTCGTCATTCATTGACGTCACGTAATACCAAATTTGGTATATGTGGAGCAAGCAAAACGGCCGCTAGCGCATCATGAAGGACCCAATATACTCCAATGTAGCGTTGACGCGCGCGCACGCAGGGCAAATCGACGCTACGTGAGCAAAACGCGAGCACTCTATAGTCTGACGCTAGGCGTGATAAGCGTCCGTCGGCGCGGCCCGACGGCAACCGCCGCGATATGCGACATGCTGTATTTCGCGCCGATGCGTTACCCAGACAACACCGCGTCTCCCTCTTTTCGAGGCGGAGGGACGCTGGACGCGCCAAAACAGGCATGAGTCAAAGCAACGTAACGCGGCGCACGCTTGTGAGTATATGGCAGGACCGGCGTGGCAACGCCGGCGTGACGCGACGAAATGAACGCCGGCGAGCACGCGCACCACGTCACGCCGAAATGTATTGGCGCCTTGACTGTGGCATGTCACATGGGACGCATCTCATGATTATCATGTTTGCACCAGTCACATACCTTCGACATCCATCAGCTAGCAAAACGGCCGCGAGCACATCATCAGTGTGGCATGTAGTCATGTTGTTACATGGCACGCATGTCGTGATTATCATGTTTGGATGCGTCATTTACCTATCTCGTCCGTTCGCGTCGCGTAATACCGAGTTTGGTATACACGTGAAGCTAGCGAAACGGCCGCGAGTACATCATGAGCGTGGCATGTAGTCATGTTGTTACATGACACGCATGTCAACATTTCCATATTATGACTAGTCAAATATGTTTTTCATACAGTCATGTTATGCCATGCCAAGTTTGGTATTGGTACCATTATCGAAACGGCCAGGAGAGCTAAAAGTCGTAGGCGGATTAGATTGATTGATTGATTGATTGATTGATTGATTGATTGATTGATTGATTGATTGGGGCACAATCCTGTGTTTTAGTTTCACGTGGATACACGGGACAGGTGGTGCCGTCTAGTGGGGTTCAGTTAAAACAAAAGCGTCTGCAATCTCGAAGCCAATGACGGAAAATTGAACAATGATCGTTGCTGCTGCAATGGCTTCCACTGCTTTCAGTATGCTGCTACTAGCACAGTAAAGCCGGGCAACGTTGTGCACGGCAACGACGTGAGTCGGTCCGGTTCCTCCACGGGTTCCTCCGTGGTCCGGTCGGTCCGCTCCTTGAGGCGGGTAATTTGAAGTACGCTAACCCGATACGGACCACTAAAACGTGATTTAATTTCGAAATAGGCCCTTTCTTGGCCCAAAAGTTACACTACGAGGTTTTCGGACCGCCATTTCAACAATCAACGTCCACATAATAGTTGACTTTATGTCGCTCTAAAGGTGAAGCGTTAATGCCCCTTAATTTTTTTTTTTCCATTCACACGCGAAACTTTGAATAGCTTGAATGGCTGGCTTCGGGCAAATCGACCCATGCAAAGTTTATTGAACAACTACCTAACTGGTTCACCTTTTCATCTGCTTTGTATAATCTTGGTAGTCCTTCTTCATTTTCACTAGCATTTCTACCCACACCCACTGAATGACAGTCGTAGAACAGTTATGTAAGCGTGTCACAGTTCAATCTATTTTTTATTCTGAGCGCTTGTTCTTTTATTGTTCGTATTAAACTATGTGCGCACTCCTGTTCATACTCGCATTCGAGACTGCAGTATTTGCAAACAAATAAATATTCCTATTGTGCTTTCGGGATGTAAAACCACCGATATTGTAACGTCTTGCGTGGCTGCGTGAATTGTATATACTACCAACTATAACATCGGTTTGTCGTTTCGAAGAGCTAGCTTGGTGTAGGTAATGTAGCCTCATTGAGGCCAGCATCTATTGTGAGCTAGCCCGCCTTACCTGGTCGAAAGAGAAGCGTCGCGGTGAGTTCGGAGACAGTTCATCCACCACGGCCGAAAGTGTCGGCTTGGCCCAGTTCTCGTAGAGACTCTCGAAGGTGTCCGACGCATCGAGCCGCCAATAAGGGACCACGTGGAGGTTGAGCACGCCCGGCTTTGCCTCGGGACATGTCTGCGAGAGGACGTCAGAGCAACATTTCACTATCGAGAAAGTCTGCACTGAATAAGTTGTACCAATGATGCGCTCATGACAGGAGTCAAGGGCGTAGCCAGACATTTATTTATTTCGGTTACCTCAGAGACCCTTGTTTGGGGGTTTTACATGAGAGTTGGTAAAAAAAATAACATAACAAATGTTTGACAACTTCTTCGTTGAAGAGTACCAAGCTGGAGTGGTGCACGGTGTAAATCTTTCTTTCTTGATTGGGAAATGAGGGTGTATTAATTAAATGTGTGTGTGCGTGTGTGTGCGTGTGTGTGCGTGTGTGTGCGTGTGCGTGCGTGTGTGTGCGTGCGCGTGCGTGCGTGTGCGTGCGTGTGCGTGTGCGTGTGTGTGTGTGCGTGTGTGCGCGTGCGCGTGCGTGCGTGCGTGTGCGCGTGCGTGCGTGCGTGCGTGTGCGTGTGCGTGCGTGTGTGTGTGTGTGTGTGTGTGTGTGTGTGTGTGTGTGTGTGTGTGTGTGTGTGTGTGTGTGTGTGTGTGTGTGTGTGTTAGAAAAGTACCAAACTACCAAACACCTGTCAGAGTTCACAGACAAGTCAGAAAAGATCGCGGTAGGAGTTCATTTTTCAATCAATATCGTTACTTTCTTAGTTTCGTCATACCGCTTTATGACGTATCTCGGACGCACCTTTGACACAATTTTTCCCTGTGTGTATATGCACTTGTAAGTGCGTGTTGAGACGAATAAAGGTTGTGGGTCCCTGTTTGACTTGCGCTGCAAACTCTTGAAAATGCGAACCAACCAAGTCGTCCCCATTCAATATGTATTCGTGCGCATGTTTCTGTGTGCGGGTGCATATATAGTACACGTACACAAGAACCACCATAATATTTTCGTCGAAAAAAATGTTTGCACCTCGCCAATTCACCCACCCCGTAATGATATTTTCTGTGGTTACACGTGCCAAAACCACAATATGAGAAGGAGGCAGGCCGCAGTTCAGAGCTTCAGAAACTTCGGTCATGCGGTGTTCTTTAACGTCCTTTAACATCACAAAAAAATACACGGGCCTCGGCCATTTCGCATTCATCAAAATACGACAGCTGCGGCCAGGATGGAAGCCGCATTTCACGGGTCAGCAATCGAGCACCGTCGTGGAGGACCCATCCCAGCTTGACTAAATCAATTGCAGCGGCTTCACTGATGGCTATAAAATAAGTGTCATTCACTTGTTTAGAGAGTCCTTGTATAGAGCGCAATAAAAACTGACAGAAAATGAGGCCAAGGAAAGTATTGCGGACGTCACTAATAGTAACTGTAATGTGAATGCGAAGAAAGAGACCAAAAGATAAGTTGCCACCTTCGAATAACGCGTTTACACTACAGTTACTAAAAATAGCATCCACTTTCCTTGGCGTCATTGTGTGTCATTACTATTATGTCTAAAAAGAAAAGTAGCCCTTACAGTTACACTTTTTTTCTTCACAAGTACATGGCGTGTCGCAGGAGCCGTCCTTTCGGAAAGTCGTCTCGTCTTCTCCAGGAAATGCAGTGGCCCTCCGAGAAGACGAAGACCACTTGCCGAAACGTAGACTTCAAGAATTTTTCGGTCTCTTACAAGTCTCTTAAGTAACTAGTAAATCCATCCTGGTTTCTCGCGCTGTCAACTGTCTCAATTCTGGTTAGCTCAATTGGTAGGGCAACTGCTCCAGGAAGGGGTTGGTGTCGGGTTCCATCCCCGGATGAGGACGATTTTTCTACAACTAATACTTTTGTTTAGGATGACTGCCAGTTGGGAGTGTTGGTAAAGGTTCATGATGAAACAAGCGCTTATAGTTTTATTTCCTGGGAAGTCAGTATGGAATTTTTTGGTAGCTTCATGGTACAAGATAGAGGTTACCAATAATTCGTTTCGTACGTAGACTTAGTTGGACGTTGACGAAGCGCAAAGGTCGAAATCTATCCGAAACCCATCACTACGGCTTTCCTCATTACATTCATTTATTTCATTTTATTTATTACACACTGCAGGCTCTTAGTTCGAAGCAGGGGGGGGGGGGTGTCATTTTCAATATTATATGAATAATACAAAAAGGTACATAAAATGGTTAGAGATTGATGTGATAACCGACATAGCAATACAAAAGTGGCATAGAAAATTGTTTCCAGTATAAAGGATAATAACAGGATTTATAAACCATTAGAAGGACCTACAAATAAAAAATACTCAAAACTTCAAGCAGAATAATTACAACATATAAATGTAAAGGAACAATACAATCAGTTTTCCTATTTAAATTAAAATAACACCACAATAAAAGACGTGACAACTGGATGGTGAGACAAAGCTGTTTCGATGCAGAAGGAGAAACTAAGTGGAAGGAAAGACACATATTAGGAGTATGCTCGAGTGTGATGCTGGAAAAATGTAACAGTTATAAGCGCCAGTTCTACAGAAACAAGCTTCTAAGGATTTAGCGTGATGATGCCTTGTGCGTCGCGTTAGTAAGTGGACCAAGACAAGCGCAATAACTTATATCTGTCGGCTCATGCAGAAGATGGCGTGTCTTGTTTACTCAGTGAGGAGAACGAAATCTGAGATGTGCGACTCTCGGGACGTCCCACAAGGTCAGTTAAAGCGTGCATACGCGATGAGGTGACCAAGGGCAAGCAGCGGACTGCGTAGATGGTTCCGGCGAGTCGTCTTGCCGCGACGATTAAGGCGAAGAGGCGATGTAACGTTGCCCTTAAACGATTTGGTGCAGGGACAAAGCCGAAGGCGCTTGTACAACTACCGCGCAGGCAGCAATCACAAAAGCCCGGCAAAAAGTTCACATGCGCATGCGCTAGCACGGAACATATAAATGTGCACATACGGGGATTCGTTAAGACGTAAATTATTAAAATTTTTGTGCAAGAAACGGTGATATACTTCATTTTAATTAGTAGCATCTCTCTTTAGCACTTGATCACTTTTTTACGCACTTCTTTTTTCCTTAGCGGTAACGTTTGCACTATGTCAATGTTGCACAACACATTGGTATCACTTTGATAGCTCGAGAATCACATTTACGGGTACTACAAACAGACAATTTTTCATCAATGCAAAAAAAAAATATTACAGCCCAGTGTGAAGGCGCTGCCCACAGACGCCAGTGCACCATCAACAGGTATGCATACCAGAGATGCCCTGTCATAAGGTACAAAATTATCATGATAATCAAGACAATATCATTCATAATCACTTATTGTTCACGTAAACGCTGTTTGCGGTATTTTATAGGAAGGGGAGGGGTGAATGTTTCGAAAAGGGTTCGTTTAATGTCGAATGAAGCCGCATTCAAAATTAATCACAGTAGAAGAAGAATAATGTGGTACGTCAAACGTACATGAATCAAAGCAAACAAATACAGCAATGAAGTATGGTGAGTTTACAGACAGATGGCACATATTAGTTGAATTAACATATCTCAAAATTTACTTGGATCTCGTTTGTTGTCTGTACAATCAAACAAGTACGTTATTCTATGATGGCTGCGTAAATACGAGTATGAGGAATGAGTAAAGAATATTCACGCTGGCTAATCAGAATCAAGTATGTTTTTTTTTTCTTCGGATTCGAGAAAGTAGGTGCGCATTAGAGCTTAGACAACGCGATTAGTCTTACGTGCTGCGAGGTTCCACGCGAATATTTTTACAAGGAACTCAGTGCCCCGTCATGACGGTCCAGTGGCTAAAATACTTGGCTGCTGACCCGCAGGTCGCGGGATTGAATCACGGTTGCGGCGGCTGCATTTCCAATGGAGGCGGAAACGTTGTAGGCCCGTGTGCTCAGATTTGGGTGCGCGTTAAAGAACCCCTGGTGGTCGAAATTTCCGGAACCCTCCACTACAGCGTCTCTCATAATCATATCATGGTTTTGGGACGTTAAAACCCCACATATCAATAAAATCAAAGAAATCAGTGATTTGATGGCGCAAAGACGATTCCCACGGTTGAAGCAGCACGATTATCGTAACGAGGTCGTCATATCACTCAAAGCCATGGCTTGCTCAATGTTCGCTTCCGAGCGCTATGCGAGACGCTTCATATCGTCAGCCGTGCTATAAGAAGGCCGCGTCTTTTCAAGGGCGGTGTTGTTGTCTCGACAAGATATGTGTGACAGCTATATGCACGCGTTTTTTGCTTGTTTCTTCATCGTCCATGACCCCCGTTATTCGAAAGACCCCTGCGCTGTCATCTTTGGCGTTTCTCAAGTTTCATGCAATTAGGCGAGCACTCCGAATTTTGCCGTCTTTGTGTTATCTCCATTTAACTCCTTTTCTTTCTTTTATGCATGTGTTCCGACGTATGATTGCGCGCATCGCGGTTTTGACACGATGCGGAAGGCGTGACCGCGCTGTTTATTTGGCTTGTTTTACACGTCTTCGACGGCGATTGGCTGTTGTGGCTGCTTCTGGGGAAGCGACGGTATAAAAAGCGTGCAAATATTTATTTGCACAATTTAGAGCTCGTCTCAGATTTGCTAAGGGACGCGAATCTTGTACAACCAGTCAGACGTGCAACCGTAAGTACTCATCTTTGGATTCATTTCTATAAAAACACATTTGCTTTCGAGTCCGCCGCGGTGCTGTAACGGTGATTGACTGCTCACCTGAAGGTCGTGGGTTTGATTCCTGCCGCGGCGGTCACATTTCGTCGGAGGGAATTGTCAGTGCACCTAAAATCAGATGACCCTCTACTACGGCGTTCCTCATACAGAGGTTTTGGGACGTTAATTAATTTTATTCGCTTTCGAGGCAAAATCAATTGCGAAGAAATATAGTGAGACACTTTAATTATTGCTTCTATCATAGCTGTCTACATGTACGAGTCTAGCAATGATTCTGTGGCCGATTCCGCGTATTATTGTTTAGTTATTTGTCTTTTTACTTAATTTTCATCTTATTTCTGGCTTTATTAACACACAGTTTCTGGCATTCTACGTATATGGTTAAATGGCCAAGTGTAATTAGACCGAGAATCACGATAGTGGCATGGTTAACGACGGAAATAACTCGTTGGCATTGGCAGTAAATATCACATTTTTAGTTCCTCTGGGTTCCCAAGCTGTTCCGTTCTCTTGTACGTTCTTCACGGGTGGCTGAAAAACAGTATAAAACGGGGACAGTACTAAATAACGCCGGAGCTCCGGTATCCAGCCCTCCGGGTCCTTGGCTCTAAAACAATTCCACCCTGGGTACGAAAGAACGCGACAGCTCGGGCGCACAAGTCGCCCTGGAGCCTCAGCACTAAATCTTTCTAAGTTGAGCGTTTGCTCTTGAAAATTGCGAACAGCCTGCTTGCACAGAGCTGCTGCAGTCACCCAAATATAACTCTCCATTAAAGAACTTTAGTGCCGAGGGATAGCAAGCCGCTTGGGTACAAACACTGTTGCATTACTTTGTTATCCCAGCCGCACTCATGAAGGATACAAAGGAACGCCGTGGGACCCCAGCACTAAACGCTCTGTTAAAGCACCGCGCCAAAGCAGATACGCGCAGTCGGAGGTGTGCCGGCAATGCCCTGCAAGAGACCTCGGTCTTACCATACGACCTCGATCTATCTCTTGTTCACTCACACTTTGCAGCCCTTTTTTTTTTCTCGTGTATTAATATATATGAAAAACGTGGAACGTAGGCTGCGCAGTAGCCGGTTATCCCATCATCATCATATCAAGACTGTAGGAACACACAAAGGCAAAAAAAGTAGACAGAATGAGAAAACAAGGGAAAGATAAGGAGGAGCTCTATGTATCGTATAAAAAATTGGTAGGGTCCAATACGTAGAAGGCGGTCACGCACATTACTGCCGATAGAGTCCATAGATAGTTCTTCATGCACTTATGAAAGCACGACAATGCGATCATTTTATTAACAACACAATATGTAGAGAAGCATCAATTTAAAAACCAAACAGCTCTCTAAACTCGCCTACGTTAAACTTCACTTAGAGGGCTCTCTGCGTGTCTGTGGTGTGGCCATGGTCTAAGCATTTCGCTTTTTTTTTTCGTCGCTTCGCCTGAGTTTTTTACGAAGCATATTAACGCCTTTCTAAGCTATGGGTATTTCTCGTTCACTTCCTATTACATTAGAGTCAAAGAGAGAGATAGAGCTACATTAGATAGAGAGAAATAGTGACAGGCCATAGATGTCAAAGGTGGCGTCCAGCAACCAAAGTGATGGGACAATTCAACTATTTGCAGGAGCGACATGAAGATTGTTCTGGCGTTTCTCCTTATCGCGCTTGCGGCTGTGTGGTAAGTGCTGCATAGGACATTTTCGAACAGTAGGGTAGTAGTTCGGTCTAGTCAATGTAGCATTATTAACGAGCGTAAAGCGCAGTTCTCTTATAAGTCATGTCACTGTTACTGAATGCACGAGTTAGTTGAACTTGGTCTTCGGCACCACTGTGCACACGCACGTATATATATATATATATATATATATATATATATATATATATATATATATATATATATATATATATATATATATATATATGATTCAAAAAAGAAATTCTGTGGGTCCGATACAAATATAATTATATAATTAAGAATAAAGGAGCACACTTACGAAAATTTCATAATTGTTTACTCTACGTTTCGGCCATGGCACGGCCTTCGTCAGGATTCAGGAATAGAATCCTGACGAAGGCCGTGCCACGGCCGAAACGTAGAGTAAACAATTATCATATTTTCGTAAGTGTGCTCCTTTATTCCTGACTATATATATATATATATATATATATATATATATATATATATATATATATATATATATATATATATATTGCCGGACCCCGGCCAAAATGCTATAACTAACAAAAGTTTTCGGACGTTTTTTCGCCCATCGCATTGGTGGGCGTTCTCTGTCTTTTCACCGAGAAGACAGCGTGACTCGATTGATGCAATCATCCCGCGTAACAGAGTGTTCTCCATTTCTTCGATCGCGCGCAGCGTGTCTGCCACCTCAGCACCAAACTGCGAGGGCGTGACGTGTGACCCCGAGACGTGCCCCAAGCACGAATGCCAGTGCGGGAGTCACAAGGACGCCTGTGGCTGCTGCGACTTCTGCAACAAGGTAATTAATATTTCAACTCCAGTGCTATTTGCATTAAAAGTAACCTGGGACGGTAAGCTCTTGAGCAGCGCAGACAATTCTTGCGATCAAAATTTGTCTACTCCATCTTTTGTGATGAAATCCGCATTAACAACAGCTAATACATGTTGAGTGCCGCGTAAATGATTACTTTAAAAAATACCGCGAGGAAGCTGTCGCACTGGTGTCTTTGCTAATTCTTGCTTTCCTTTTCCTATTCGCGAATGGAATAAGTTAGATATGGGGGTTGTACAATTATGTCCACTTGGGCGATGTATAGGTCGCACTAATAAACAATAAAGAAGGAAGCCATGCCCTGTCAGAGTACTTTCAGTCTTATTGATTCAGGAAACCTTCCCTACTCGCGAGAAAAAATAAACCTTTTTTTTTTTGTTGTTGTTGTTGTCGAATAAAAAATAGCTCTTTCACGAAACCAGAAACGACACACTCGCTGTGGGAAGACGCTCGGCGCGAAAGAAAATGCGTGCGGAGACATCACTTTGCACCACCAGACGAGTGGCGTAATGTTTTTTTTTTTTTTTGCTTTGTCGTACGTAGTTCTTAGTGGCTAAAAACATTGAGCCAGGGGCTGAGCATACCAAGTTTCAGGAAATTTTGTGTAGCCAAATTGGCCAAACCAAAGTAAAGACGCATTTAAATATTGGACGTCATCATAAGATAATACGGCAGGAAACTTAAAGCGAAGCGTTTCACAGGTTTGTTCTTATATTATTAAACCTACGATGAAAAAATTGCCGAAACCAAAGTTCCCAGAATAATATCGATGAATCTGATTATATTTATTTCTTCAATTTAGTATTCCTTTCCGGTATTGGCGCACGCTTTGTTACAAATTGAAGTTGGGGGGCTGACGTGTTTCCCTGAGGCATGCTCTTGGCCTGCTACATAGTTCTTAGAGCGGTTTGTTTTTTGTGGTTTTCGACATGTCCATTTAAAATCATACTACTATTTATATTCATCCAGCTCTTCAAATACCTAGTTTAGCACCAGCGCATCAAGAAGAAATGGAGGGCAAGCCAGAGTGATGTTGCAAAGCGAAAGCCTTGAAGGGCCCCTAAACAACCTCCTTAAATGCGAAGAACAAGCTGGTTATTTTCTCCCGGCCTTTCCCGCATCATGAAGCCGCAGCTTGCTCTCGTGGTGTCAGGATGAAATACGCTTTCGAGGGGTCGATATGATGAGAATTATCGCCCATCCTGCTTTGCCGTGCGTGGCCCTTATACCTCGTCTCGCGTGGCTATCGATCAACTGAGTGCATTTCATTTTCGGTGACTGAGGAAATAACCGCGTGTAGTCCTGATTTAAGGAGTTGACGGCTTAAGGAGTTGACCTCCCTCAAGTTTTATGACGAAATAAATGGCGAGAAACATTTGATAGCTTCTCCTTCGAAGTGGGTGTGCTTTAGGGGCCCTTTAATTTCTGCATTGGACGCTGGCCGCCGCGTGCAGCAGAAAAGCTCACGTGACCCCAACGAAAATTAGATGAATAAAAAAAAAACTCTGGTTCGACTATGATAACGTCGTGATATCGAGCAAGAAGCCGCTTTAGTGACAATTTGAATACCAAAAACGTCGAGTGACACCGTCGATTTCTGGTTCCACACTGGGATATTGGCTGGTGTCGAGTGACACCAGCCAATATCCCAGTGTGGAACCAGAAATCGTTTTAACGCTGCCGACCCATTACAAAAGAAAGCGTGGCGATTTATCATCAGCCACAACACCAAAAAAGGCCTTCACGTGACACGTCTTCTCCATACAGTTTCCTGAATTCAACTAGAAGGCACTTTGGCGCTGCGGTCATTCAGCCGCCATGGCAATGATAGGTACACGGACTTGCCTATTCTTCATACTTGCGGCTTCAAAAGTACCTGTGGCTTTCTTAATCATGTTGCTTTGGTTTTGTTTCGGGTAAAAGAAAGAACCGTTGAGAACGTCGTGACTTGATTCGAATACGTGAGCCTGGAATGCAACATTTGCTTAATGTCGTATCGTGTGTCTCCCAGCCACGCGAAGCCGATTGGAGCCGAAAGAACGAAGATTAGAAAATTTGTGCAGAAACTGTCAGCAATTCTCATCTGGCTGAAGCGCCATGCGTTGCAGTTCCCATAGCGCCAGGTCTCCGCTTAGTGTACTTATAGGAAACTGTATACGTCTTAAAGTCTCATGACCTACCGCGCGCCCCTCTCGAGAAAAAACAACATTTATGGGACTGTTCAGTGAAGGGCAAGAAAACCATCCTAATAATGGTTCAACTAAGGGGCCAAGCTTGTAACATTAACGGCACGCGTTCAATATAATTTCATGGGAGTAAGCTTCCTGCTAAAATAATGACGGAAATTGTCGCTCTATAATGTTGCAGACGTCCCAATTTCGCATTAACCGCTAAATTTGTACTTGTTGCTATTTTCTGACAAGCTGCTCATTTCCAATGGTCATTGGGAATAAAGTAAAGCTTAAGAAAAAATATTGTCTCGCCCTATACTATTTCGAAAGTTGAAGTTTTACCGCAACGCACTGATGTTTGTTCCACACTAGCACAACGCATGCACTCAACACAATGAAGTAGGCGGTGGTCGCACATCGGGCCTAACTTCAAAGATGCCTTGAAGCCCTCTCATTTCTTTGTGGTTGACCTTCGATTCCCATGGGCGTTGCAGTTTGTGCAGTGCGAAAGTAAACGGAGCTCAATTCTAACTCCGGTCTATGCGTGTCGTGGTCTAGCTAGAGTTTTCTTTTCAGGAGCTGTGGAGAGCTGAACGGGGTTTAACCACATACACGCACACATTTGAAAACCTTGGAAAGAGGTTGAACATAGAGTCGTCGTCTTCACCACCAAAGTTTACGCCGTTGATGTGTGTTGGGCTTATGACAGTCGAACAGTAGAGAGAGAGAAAATAAAATGAGGGAAAGGGAGGGAGGTAGGTGACAAACGCCCTCGTTGTACTTGCAACATGAGTATGCAGCATATGGCGCACGCTGTACATGGAATGCTTTGTGTGAACCTGAGTTCCGAGACTATGCATGCAGGCGAACGGCGCGTCGCAGACAGTCTGCCGCTTCTTCCTTTTCGCGCAGTGTCTCGAGGAGGAATGTCATCCCGAACACAACGACCGTTGCGCCGAAGGCCTGCACTGCGTCATTGGTGAGGATGCGACAGCCGGACACTGCAAGCCCGGTGGCGCTTCTACCGCGACACCGGAAGTCAATGTACCGGATTCGGAGGCGCCCGTCGACGAGCACCACGCGCACCACGAAGGAGGGGAACACGCCAAGACCGGTGAAGAGGCGCACCACGAGTGATGGCCACCCAAAACTTCGACGCAGAGCTCTGAGCACCCCAGAAACGCTTGAGTTGACTGTACATACGCCGCTATTCCTATTCTTTTAATCCCTCCTCACCCCCATCCTTTGTGAGCTACTGTTGAGGTGTTGCTCCCTGAAGCAGACAGTTACGGACTCACTTTTCTCTTCCTTTCTCTCTTAGAACCACTTAGTAGTCACGTGAAATAAATGACGCTGTCATTGAAAATATATATATATATCGCATGTGGTACCATATGAATTCACCGAAGACAACCGACACAAAAACGTAAGCCATCTCATTTTCTCTCCGTGGGCTTTTTCCGAGTAAATAGTCTGCGCATGGTCCTCGCCGACGTTGCCGAGGTGACCATGCAAATTGTAGATGGATTGATGTGGCTGTACCCTACAGATCGGGCAGCGGCTAACGCCACCTAGCCGTAAGACTTGGAGAACAAAAACTATATTTATTTTTTTTCCTTTACATAGTGAAGTTAGGGACTGACCCTTTGTAGTGCAGGTTTTAATTTTCACTCGTGCCTTGATTGCAGCCACCAATCGGATAAGCTCCTAGTTATTTTCACCCGCTTAAAGTCTATTTCACCCTCCCTGTTCCTGAACCCCAGTGCTTTGAAAAACTCTGCACCATCATCCTGAACTATAGGGTGAAGCCCATTACAGAACATTATCAAGTGTTCGGCAGTTTGCTCCACCTCTGCACAAGCACTTCATACCGTGTCTACCCCTTCGTATTTGGCCAGATAAGTCTTCGTTCGCAATACTCCCGTCCTGGCCTCCAACAGTAGAGAACTATCCCGAGAATTATTATAGAGAGTTTCCTTGGCGATTTCTTGTTTAAAAGTTCGATATATCTCTAGTGCGGACTTCTTAATCATGCCAATTCTCCACATGTCAGTCTCCGTTTCCTTCACCTTCTTTTTAACTGATAGTTCTTTTTGGTTTGGCTCCCTGCTCTTTTCTAAGTATTTACCCGTCAATTTTCTGGTTCGCTTCCTCCATTTTGTATCGACATTCCTCTAGTACAAGTGGCTGAAAGCCTTCCTAGCCCAACGCTCCTCTCCGATTTCTCTCAATCGCTCCTGAAATTTTATCTTGCTGCTAGTTTCCTTGCCCTCGAATCACGTCTAGCTCATATCGATCACCGTGCACTCCCTGATTTGGTGTATTCCAGTGAGCTCCTAAAGCAAGCCTACCCATTCCACGTTGCTTAATTTCAAATCTTGCCTGACCGTCTGATCTCATGCACAATACCGCATTGCCGAAGGCCATACCAGGAACCATGACCCCTTTTTAAATTCCTCTCACAACATCATACCTATTGTAATTTAACAGTGTCTTTCATCTCCGCTGCATTCCTCTTACCTTTAGTCGTTACGTATATTTCGTCTTCTCTTAGGTACTCGGTCCTATTGCTTATCCATACACCAAGATATTTGTATTTATCTGTTATCTCTAGCGTGACCTCCTGTGTCTTAAGCTCCCTATATTCATCATCATTAAAAATCATGACTGTTCATTTTTTCCCTCACTAAATCTCTAATAAAACCTATCCCCTTCATTACCGCAGATGTCCACCAATCTCTGCAAATCTTTCTTATTGTCACTTGGTAGTCCTGGCCTTGGATCTTAAAGGGGCATTCGACAACGTGAAGCATGAGGTAATCCTTGACCACCTCAGTCAGACCAACTGTGGTTATAAAACATTCAATTATGTTAGACAATTTCTTACAGACCGTCAAGCCTACATACGCATACAAGATGAGGAACATGGGCCTTACGTCATCGGCTCGAGGGGAACTCCTCAAGGCGCGGTCCTCTCTCCCCTCTTATTTAATATAGCCATGCTTCATCTTCCCCCCAAATTGGCTTCTCTACCAGGGATACATCACGCTCTTTACGCGGATGATATCACGATCTGGGCCACGCAAGGTAACCTGGGTCACATGAAGTCATGCCTGCAAGCAGCAGCGACTGTAGTCGACGACTACGCAACCTACTGCGGACTCCAGTGTGCCCCGGCTAAGTCAGAATTTGTGCACGTACGTCCCTCCCCTCAGGACACAACTCAACTCCATATCAGTCTTCCCTCGGGACCGATCCGTGAGGCCAAGAAGATCCGCGTCCTTGGCCTTTTCATACACCACCAACGCAAGGCCGACACCACAGTAGCCAAACTTCGCACGGTGGGAGACCAGGTGGGCCGTATGGTCCGCCGGGTCTCCAACAAGCGGAGCGGATTACGAAGCAGGGATGCAATGCGGCTTGCCCATGCTTTCGTAACGAGTAGAATACTCTACTCGACTCCCTACTTGCACCTACGCAAACACGAGGATGATCAACTCGAGGTCATCCATCGCAAAGTTATCAAGCGGGCTCTCGAGCTCCCTATCACCCCCTCCAACCAGAGACTTCTGGCCTTAGGCGTGGTGAATACCTACCGGGAACATCGAGAAGCCCACCTCGTTAACCAATACACACGCCTTGCACAGACCCATTCTGGTCACCACCTCTTGGACCGAATACGCATCAAACACGATTACTATATTGAGGAAAGGGTGAGAGTGCCAGAACCTTGGAGACGCGCCCTCCGGGTCCGACCCCTTCCCCGCAGCATGTCCAAAGAAAACCACAGTGGTCGCCGCCAGGCGCGCGCGGAAGCGTTGCAGCGACACTTTGGTCAAGAGGAACACGTGTGCTACGTGGACGTTGCCGGCCCGCACCATGGGGGGTGGTATACTGCCGCAGTCATACACAACGCAAACACCGTAAACGGGCTCACTTTCAAAGCCTACAGCGCAACACACGCGGAGGAGATTGCCATCGCTCTGGCTCTCACCTATCCCTCTTCTAAACATATCATCACCGACTCACGAGGGGCCTGTCGGAACTATCAGCTCGGGTGGGCTTCACCGCTTGCTCGGCGCATACTAGAACCTAGCTGCCGATACGTTAATTCAACTCCGCGAAATCTGGTTTGGGCACCCGGTAGCCAAGGACTCAGGAGTAACGAACAGGCCGGTCAGGCCGCCCGCGCACTCTCTTCCCGGGCTATCTCCCTGTCTTTGGAAGCCTACTCCCAATCAGACAACTCGGCCCTTTCATTCAAAGAAATTACCAGTTACTACAAGGAGGAGCACCGTCGCTATCCAGACCCTTGTAAGGGACTGCATCGCCCTGACTAGCACCTCCTTTTAAAACTGTTTACCAATACTGTACTGTGCCCGGCGGTGCTGAAACATTAAAATTCATCCTTTGATTGCGCGTGCCAGTTCTGTGGTGAGGTGGCTGATACCTTTCACATCGTCCGGGCGTGCCAGTCTTATCCATCTATCCCCACCAACACCACTGCTTCACCAATGTTTCACCACCACCAACACCACTGGCACTATATCATCTGCGTACATCAATGCAGATGAATCGCGTTCGGACCAAGCGACATCTGGTGTCACAAACATGAAAATGTTTCCTCCACAAAACGGGTGGGTGCGACTACATCTGTGCGCTCACTTAGCGCGCGCAGGTGCATTCTAGCCCAGCCGTGTCTACAGAAATCACAATGCACAACTCCGACATTGCCTACTTTGGCGCGGTGGGCAATATCACAGACCAAGGGACACCAGTTTCGATTTCGGCAATATCTACTGGAGTGTTATCACCCGGAAAAGGCCGATTGTGTAGGCCCCGCTAACCATTCAGCAGCGACATAAAACTCACCTTAGCTGGCAGCCGCATTAACGAAATTTAGCCCTTCGATTTCTAGAAAGGTTAAGAAACAGTTGGAACTTGGAGAGGGGTGGAGGAGGAGAGCTGTTCACAAAATATCCTTTAACGCTGCCATGATAAATAGCGCGTTATTCGTACGTCCAATATAGCTCATTTCTTAAGGGTATTCGGCGTCAGGATTCAAGGCACATGTCTGCAATGATCTCAATAATCACTCAAACCTGGAAGCCACTTCTAAAAGATGGAGATTTCGTTCCACGCTTCACCAGGTGATGACCACCTAGGATGCCTCACGGGGGAGCACTGCCGTCTACCTGAACTAATCGTTATTAATTGAAATAGACGAGTAAAGTAACGTGGCTTTCCGTTTGGGAAAGCATCTATTTCCTTATGAAGCAGCGGGCTGCGCGTTTGGCACTCCAGAGTTTCCCAATAACGCGCGAGAGGGAAATCTGGCGCTGGTGCGGTTGAACAGCGCTTCAGAAAGCGTGGGAATGATACGTGGATTTGTATCAGCTTCATTTGGAGCCAGCAGCCGCTTTGTCGTAAGACAAATTCAGCAAACGTTTTATCCACCTTCTCATCTCGCCCTTTTACTCTCTCACTCCCCTCTCCCCACGAGTAGAGTAGCCAACTGAACTTGCCTCCCTACACTTCTTACATTCTTCCTCTCTCAGCAAACGTTGAGAACTTCTCCACCTTTAGGCTCACCAAATCGATTTCGCTACCTAAATTCACAGCAATCTATTCTGAGCAAACGACATCATGTTGGAAGTTAGTCCGAAATATTTTCCACTAAATTCAATGAACACACCTAGTTCCTTCATTAACTCGCTCCCTGGCTCTCTCACCCGCTATGACGGCTGCTTATTTCACCCTTATGTTAATTATGGACGTCGAAAACACTGGTAGTTTCGCATAAATACCAGCGTCGTTGGTTGTCAGCGAAAAATCAGCAATATCCACGAGATCAAGAAAGATGCAAATAAAATAAATAATGAAGGTATTCCGCTCGAGTGAGAGTCGAACCCAGGCTACAGTGTTCTAACCTAAAGGCCCGGCCTTGCTTGAGCCTTGGGGTAAAAAAATGCTATGAATGTCATGCAGTGGAAGGAGTCTCCTTAGTGCGAGCAATGTGAAGTGGTAGAAGCACAGAATCGCGCCATGTGTCAACATGCGTGAATTATACAACGAGCGGTTGTTCCAAGGCCACACCTATAAGAAAGCGCTTAATCACCATCAGCAGCAAAAGCATTAACGAAGGGAGCAGCTGCGTCGCGCGACGGACGCACAGTGGGTATATTCGCCGATTCACAAGAGGAAGAATTATGGCGCAGTGGTGCAACTGTGTTTGAAGTCTAGGATATGTAGTTCGAAATTACCGATGTTACGCTTTCTGAAGGTTTAATTGGGCCAAGAAGACAGGCACCTAATGAAAAGACGACGACATGTACAGCGCAAACTTCCAACCAAAGTTATTTCCCGAGTTTTATGCAGGCGCCACCGAGCGTGTGCGACAATCAAATTCTTCAAAAAAAAAAAGAAATCAAAGCTTTTCGTGGTAGTTTGCCCGCAACCGAGTGTGTCTTCCCGATGGTTGCTTTCCTTGTTGAAGGCGATGCCCGACTGCTCTTGAAGACGAAGTTCTTTATTCATTTTAGTTTTTGTGCCTACTGGGGCGCCCATCACCGCACCTTATAGTTTGCCGAACAATAATATCGCATATCATGGCTGATAAGAGGCCTGTGGACACCACACGATATTTGTGCTTCGCAACGCATAAACTTTGAAGTGCTGCCGAGTCATTGATGCGCTTGCAAAATGTGTCATCGTCTGTCTTGTGGTTGCATCGTAATAGTTGTTGTTTTTCAAGCCCCAAAACCATGATATAATTACGAGGGACGTCATACTGGCAGGCTCTGAAAATTTTCACCATCTGTTTATTTTATTATTTAACGTGCACCTAAATATTGTAGGGACCTACCCCTCTATCTACCCCTTTCATGATGAAGGGAAAAATGTATTATTGTTACTTGCCTATCTAAGTACACAGGTCTCAAACATTTTTTATTGCATCGAAAATGTCACCGGGATACGGTCCGGCAACTTCGGATCAGTACAATTCATTGTCGTTTTGCCCTTGCGCTGCTGTAAGTGTGTACTGTGATGAATTTACAACAGCCATCTCCCGTTTTCCCAATTTGTGTCGAAAACAAGGGAAACGCCTAAATAAAAATTCAGAGCCTGAAATATGTGTGGAACTGGAATGAAACCTTCTATTCCGTTTTCTCCTCCTTCTGCTTGTATTTTTCTTTTTCCGTTCTTTTTGTCTTTTTCTCTCTATATATGTATTTATTAATATTTTATTCCTATAGATTTTCCATTCCTCTCTCACTTAATTGCGTGCTTGCTTCCTCTCTTTTACTATTCTTTCTGCTTGGTTGTGTTACGCCAGGCGAAACCCCCGTCTCCCATGAGCTCCAGAGTTATCTTTTCCGCACTCCGCTCTTTTTGTTGTGCTTCTTTTCCGGCCCTTTGCCAAGCCGCCGAAGTTTATTAATGAGAGACTGCACGCGCGCGCGGCGACCAACAGAAAATGGCGATGTGGGAGATTCTCATCTGTCCAGTCCTTGACCTCGTCAAGCGGGAAAACGCTGCGGCGCACATTTGGAACAGATCCAAGACACCCTCGCTTCAAAAATGAAGACGACACGTGCTGGCAGCTGCTAGCCAGCCGTGCAGACATAAAAACAACTCTGTTGGCGCTGAAACTCAGAGCAGCACGCTTTTACAACCACAGTAAGTAGCATTTCCTTTTCTCGCAGGTTTTTACAGCGAGAGCTGTTATGATATCGCAACTCGGGTCACACGCCACCGTATAGTTCTCCGTAGCCGCAACCCCCGGTGTCCGTAACCACATTGCGCGAATTAGAAGAAAAAAAAAACAACCTTGCACCAATGGCACATTGGGGCTGGCACCCGGGGCCGCTGGGTGCCAGCCCAGTATTCTACCGCTGCGCTACACCAGTGCTTGTGACTTGTTGTCAAACTTGCTTTAGACAGGCTTTATGTCACGAAAGCAATCGCATTAATACGACTTATAATGTGTTTTAAAACAGGGAAAAAAAAAACAAGTCATCGCACAGTACGAATAGCGTAACGAGTGGGTCGTCCAATGCTTCAACCCATTACAGAAGCTTGTTCTTGTTCACTTATTACCTTTGGCGCATACCTACTTCAGGCATAATTCTTCATCGTCATCAGCCACTGCATCAACAATTGGCACAACACTTCTTGCAAGTGTTTACCGCATACCACGCTTCTCAGAAGAATGACGAAAAATAGCAAAGCGAATGCCGGCATACTAGCTAAAAAATGTATTAATAGTGCCATAGTGGGTATCAAGCAAGTGTGCTTGCGGCAGTTACCCAATGAGTGTTTAGAAAAGGCTCTAAAAAGACGCTTTTTTGTAGCTTTCTCTGTAACTGTGTTGCACCTTATATACGTGCAGGCATGGCGTTTTTTTTTTCTTTCTCTAATTGTAATAGTTAGGGATAAACGTTTAATGAAGTGAAATCTGACGACCCCCACGGCGTCTCGTTCTTTGGAAGCGTATGAAAATATATATCTTATCAAACTTGCATGATGTTCAATTGAACAATCGGCTAGCG